GTTTGAAAGCCAGAGAGCCAGGACCAACAATGTCCCAGGACAGGAAAGGATGGATGTCCTAGCTCAAGAGAAGCGAGACAAAGAGCCAGTCAGTCCGCCTGTCCTCGGCCTTTTTGTTTTACTCAGGTGAGGATGATGCCCTCCAGTATCCAAAAGGGCTGTCTGCTTTGCTCAGCCCACTGATCCCAATGCTAACCTCTTCCAGAGACACCTGATGGGAACATGGAGAAATGATGTTTCACAAGCTGCATGGGCGTCTCGTAACCCAGCCAAGGTGGCACACACAATTCCCATCATACTGGCAGGCACATTTCCTATGGGCATCACTGCGGACTCATCTTACTTCCTGTGGAGATGACCTCGAGGTACAGAAACGAACTTTTGGCAGAGACACAATCTCTAGTAGACCTGACACTGGGGTTATCTGGGTGGCCAAATGCACACACCCACTCGGACTTTCTTGAGACCCCTGAGCTTTTTCCTCTGTGACCTATGTGTGGTCTGGCTAGGCCCACACTAGAGCTGAGTCTGGCAGTTTGTGAATCAAATGTGGTCCAAAGAAAACAGCAGGAAGACAGCAAGGGTGAGTGCAGGAGTGACTAGGTGTGAGATGATATATTTGTGGTGGTCACGTCTGTGATTTTAAGTATCATATTCTCACTCACTGCTCCACTGTCAGCATACTTGCTGACCACACAAAGGGAAAATACAACCCTATAGTCTTTAATAGACATTCTGGCGGACTCTGGCTGTTATTACAGTAGCTTGGGAACTTCGAAACTCTGGGTGTTTTTTCAGCTTTCGCCCATCACGTTGAAGTAGGATGAGGTTGGGCTTAAAAGGAAAAATGCTGAAGCAGAGCACAGCGATCCCAGACAATGATTCTGTGGCCTGAGAACAGCAGCCGTGGTGTGTGCGGGTAGCCAGAGGTTCCTACCGGCCTCAGCAGTGCAAAGGGTTGCTTCTGCCCAGCTTATGAAATCTAAGCCTGAAGCGGACCTACCACTGGAATGAAAATTCAAAGTCACATAGCTTTTGGTCTCCAGGATGACTCTGTGGCTGTCCTTATTGCTTGCGGCCACAGGAGCCTATTCCATTAGTGAGCAGAACCTTGACTGATAAGGCGGATAAGGAGAGAATTTTAAAAATCTTACAGGAAAACCACCTCCTAGAAAGTTAAAATGGGGTGGGGAGGGTTGCTAAGAGAGAACACAGGGGCTGGGTTTGGGGAGGAGTGACAACCGATCTGTAAGCAGACAAGTGTGGGGAGGTCAGGGCCTACCGCCCCATCTCCCTGAAGGGGGGCATCTCAGTTTGGCCACGGAGTCATCAGAAAAATGCTGTTTCTCATTGCAAGGAAAATACTGTATCTCAACAGGACATTTCATGTTATCTGTTCTCCCTAGAAATATGGCAGGGGGAGGGCCCAGCCCCTCAGAAATGAAAGCCATATGTATACCATATTATAAAACAATAATGAAAAAAAGCTAGGCCATTAGATTATTGCTGACCATAGGGATTCAGTATTTATAATTTACATTCTTTCCCATACTTTGCTGTTTTTGAGAAGTAAAGAGCAGAGGTTTATGGCCTCCCTAGATCGTAAATCAGATTCCTGAGGCTAGGGGGGCTGCGACAGGCGACAGGCGGGAGGAATTGCCTTCTGACAGTTTGCAGAATGTGTCAAAACATCAAGAAAAGAACCCAAACAGAGATGGGACCCTGCTACAAAGAGTAGCATCCCAACTCCCCCCAGGTCACAGAAACAAAGGGGCGCCTGGGAACTTTCCACTCTCAACAGGGGTGACTCCCAGCAATCCCCCCACCCATCACGCAAACACCTGAAATCGCATCTGGAGCAGCTTGGAGGGCTGGCGGCCCCCACTGAAGGCAGCACCTGACCAGACTCACAGCAGCCTTCCTTCGGGAGGGAGGAGGGGACTGAGGAGGGGGTGCCCAAGGAACAGGTTCCTCACTGTCCACGCACCAAAATGGGGGTCAGTGGAGGCTCTGGTCTGGTGACACATATGACCTGGGAAGAACACAAGGTTCCAAGTCACTCTGACCCCTGCTCCCCCAACTCTGGAATGCTGCTTTGTATGCGTGGGTGCTTACTCTAAGCCTGATCACCCTGGAAAGTGGGGATACCACTCCTAAGCTATGCATTCAAAGTGGAAACAGTTTTCTGGAGCTGTACACAGGGGTGGGTGAGGAGGGGGCTTGGGGATGACTTTCGGCTACAAGTAGGAAAGCCATTCATGCTGGCATTGGGCTCACCAGCAAGGTCAGCAAGGCTGTTTGTTGCTGGGAAGATTCAGAGGAGGGAACCCCATCTGGAAGTCTTTGAAGGTTCCCCATCCTAGCAGTGGCCCTAGTGAATGCATCCTTCTGCTCCTGGCCTGGGCTTCATCCACTGTAGAAGTTGGAAGATCCGAAACAAGTTTGAAAGCTAGAGGTCTTTCTTAAGCCTTTCCAAGGTTGCACCATAAAATACCCAACCAGTGCATGATGTATGCTGACTGACAAGTGTGAGCCAAGGCAGCCCTTTGTCAGGCAAGTGGGAATAGTAAGACTTACAGTCCAGATTTTCCAGTATGGATTCTTACAGCAGTCCGGCCTGCAACCTGACTTGTGGCTTGTGTACTTCAGACATGAAAAGTTCATTGTTCCGGTTCTTTAGTCTCAAACTTCTCTACTTTTAGAGGCAAACACATTTATTTCCTGGGGTTTTTGGTCACGAGTCTCCTCTATCCTGCATCCAAAAAGGATGCACCTTCCTTAGAAACCCTGTTATCTAAGGCCCTGAGGAGTTGCATGGAGGGGCAGGAGGCGAGGCTGCTCTGAGAACCCACAACATGCAGCCCACAGAGCAGGACATGTTTGGTGCATTCCAGTACCAAAGAAAACAGCTAACACTCCAGGCACAAAAGATAATAGGCTTGAGGTTGGAATGGCTGCATCAGCTGTGAAAGCAAAACTCTGGGGCAAATCCTATTTCCTGAATGTTTCTGTCCTCACTGGGTTTAGAAGAGGATGAATTTGCCAATATCCTCCTTGCTTCAGAGGACAATCATGCTGGGGACATGAGGCCCTTTTGCCAGGACTGTGGACAGGACACTTACCTGCCACTGAGTCTGGGGGAACCAGGTGTGCTGCACAGAGGCCAGGTGGCAGCCAGAGCTTCACGAAGCTTCAGTTAGTCTGCTCGCACACCAACCAGTCGCACAGCCTCAGCTGTTAGATTGTGACAACAAGCATCTGCTCAGAGGACCGACAGCTTCTAAGTCCACCCCACAAGATGCAAGAAAAGTAATGTCAAGGTGGATAAAGTCACAAATTTTTGAAAGGGACTAGAGGCAGTTTTCCCTAAACACCAGAGACCAGGAAAGTCATTATAATTCAGCATTCCCACAAACTGAAAAGTTCATGTCCAACTATTTTTTTTTTCCATTTTTGAGTAGACAACAGCAAAAAAAACCAAAAAAAAAACAAAAAACAAACCTTTAAATTCAGTGATTTAAAAGCCCTAACTGCTGCACCAAAGACCATTAAAGGTCGACTTTAACAAATGTTACCTTCCTCTGTGATAGCTCTATCAAGTTTAGGATAAAATGTGATAAAGGAAAATGTGGTAAAAATCTAATCGTTAGGGGCTAGCAATGAGATGCTGCAGTCCACTAGCCTAGCCATCATGATTGCTGACCCTTGCCAAGAACCAGCTCTCCAATACAACCCTGGCCATGTACACACACACATGAAGGGATGCCTTTGTGCCGAGACCCTGGTAAATCTGTTTTCCTTGTATCTACACTTCAATCATGTAAGTGGGAAGTGGTGCATTGAAGACTGCAGTAGTCTACCTGAGGGAGCGCTGGTTTCCATGACAATAAGAATGCTCTGAATGAAGCCCACCTGCAGAATGCAGTGGTGTGGTGCGCCCAGACACACAGCAGCCACTGAGTCTAGTTCAAGGAGCATGCGAGTTAAATCCCCTTGTGTAAAATGCTATTGCATGTTTAGCCTCCTGCCTGCCAGAGCCTGACCGGGCACAGTATTTGAGGCAAAACACTCCTAAGGTTCTAATTGCAAGGGTGGCCCTTGACAAAAAGAGGTATCACGCAGGGATGCTGAGGATGGAGAGTGAGGTGGGCGGCGGCTGTGTCAGGGCATCAGCAGACACCCGTATTCGGGGCTGCCACGTGCAGATATTCAACCAGATGGATCACGATTTCACAGTGAAATAAAGCTTCACACTGTGCCCATATTTACAGAAGGGCTCTCTGATGGGTCAGAGTGCAAGTGGGTTTATGAAACAAGTGCTTCTTTGCCCCTCTTGGTGCTCTGGCGACAGGACAGCTGGAGAGTGAGGAGGTGCAGAGCTGTGCCCGGCCCGCCAGCTTCTCCAGGCAGCTCCAGCCTGGCCATGGCTGACGCCTCTCTGAACTGCATGGCAGCTTCCGGAGCAAGTCTGTGTGAGGCTCTCTAACCCAGTGGTGGCCAGAGGCCCCGGGCACAGGATGTGACCCCGGGCTGCACGATTCATTTAACCCCTTCACCCTGGAATTCCTCCGCAGAAAAAGAAAAACATGACACTTCTATGGTTAAAGATTTCCTTAACGGGGGGAACGACATGGGAACCTTTGTGCTCTGTGAAATGAGGGAACAAAGGGATTGCTTCAGTAAATTTATGTCCATAAGCTGGGTACTGACCACTTGTTGGAGGAAGAAAAAATCCAACGTGGCTGATGTAACCATTAGCAGAGTGAAAAGCCACGAATCTCTTGTTCATTTCCTGCTGAGTACTTGGGCAGGTTAAGAAATCAGACATATCTGTCTGTAAACCCTCTAAAATGCACGTTTTCCTTTTCTCTTGTCACCTTTCACGACTTTTATTCCTATTACCCTAAAGTCTTGGAAAATACAGTGATTGCTTACAAACAGGGGAAAGCACCACTGAGAATGCAAGATACAGAGAAAGAAATCGTTTACAGAGGCAGATCTTTGATGGGCTTGAATGTGAATCATTTTATTTAAAACAGGGATCCATTGGAGGTGAACTATTGGGGCAAAGGCCTAGTGCATGGCACGGATGAAAGGTAATACTCACCAGCACCTCACGTGAGACTAAGACAACGTCAGCAGTACACCATGGAAGGAGGACAAGTAAAATGTAGAAGGCACCTGGCTGGGGGAGAAGCCATGGTGTTTATGCCTCTCCAACAGGCTTGCTTCTGTACACCGTGGGAGCGTCAGGACAATGACATGTGCAACGGACCAAAGGGGTTCTGACCGGAAGCCCAGGATCCCAGGTTGGTAGCTTAACTTTCCTCGGACTGGTTCACACCTGCCATGTGGTTTAATTAAGGTCCTAAAAGGAGGATGAGGTTGCTAAATAGTAATATAAAAGCTCTCTCCTGTTCTTTTCCTCAGAAGAGTGGGGACACGTTCCCCATTCCAGTTCAGCAGTGGCTTCTGAAGATTTTTACGTATCCTGACATTAAAAACAAATAACAACAACAGACAGTAAAGTGGCCTGCACGTCAGCCAGTCACTCAGTGTGAAAGGCAGATTCGTAAAAAAAAAAAAAACAAAAAAACAAAACTGATGACCAGTCCGTTAACCACGTAGTGAATGCCTCATCCAGGTAGAAGTGTGTCACCTGCATCCATAACACACATAAGCACAAAGCTGCTCTCCGCAACTCTGAGTAAAGAGCTACCCCTCCGTGCCACACTGCACGGCTCCCGGTGACCGCATGTCAAGGGCTGGAGTTAGAGGAGAACCCCAACTGGCGAGTACCCCAGACAATGACCTCCCCGCTGAGGCCAGGTCTGCGTGGAAACAGGCTTACACGCTCCAATAATGGCCCCTCCCCCCCCCAAGTCCCCTCTCTTCCCATCGCGCAGTTTGTTTATGACCTAACAGGGAGGTCCGAATGAGTTCCGTTCCCTCCCCGTTCTAGGCACTCTCTGGAACATCTTTGCTCAACCAGCGTCTTTCATTTCTTTCCAACTCCATTGGTGACTTTTGACTTGGAATGTCGATTCCTTCTCCTAGAAGAATGGCTCTCGTTGTTGCCTGGGTGCTTGGGTGGGCTGTCCTCAGAACCTGGCCAGAAGAAGCAGAAGATGCTGTCATGGGGAGCTACCGGATGCCTGGGACTGGCCGCCCTTAACCACTAGGCAGTGGCCGCAGGCCTGCCTGGCAGTGCAAACTCTTCCACTGATACTCGCACTCCACCTAGTGGCCTCAGTAATAAACGCAGGCAAGGCACAAGCCCCAGCACTGAATCAGCGCCTGGGGTGCCTGGGCAGGCAAGGCAGTCCTGAAGAACTCCACATTCACACTCTGTAAGGTGCACTGGGGTAGTGGTGAGGGGGCCCAGAGGGAGGTACAAAGGAACAGCGGACACAGACAACACGGAGGTCCATCCTCCCCTTGCAGACAAGAAAGCATCACTAGATTTCCACACCTTGACATTTCCCACACCAGTTTCTAATCTCTGCAAAGCTAAAGGTATTCCCTGCCTTCTACTGTGAGATCTGGGGCCACTTGTGTGTCCTGCTGCTCAGGGCAGAGTGCCCTGGAGTCACACACTGAAGGTGCCACCTGCCCCTAAGATGCTCATAAACCAGAGGCCAACATCACTGCTGCCACTATTGTTTGGGAGCTGGGAGACTTAAGCAGAACAAGATTTCCTCCTGCGCTGAGTGCTGAGCAATCAGTAGGAATCCAGCAGAAGGAAGGTGGAATCCAGGGAGCTGGGCAGAGGATTCTGTGTAGAGGGGCGAGGGCCTGAGATGTCAGAGAACTTCCTGGCACTGGGTTAGCTCTGCTCTCAAGACGAAGCATATGGCCTAAGCCCTGGCCTCTAGCCAAGCAAAAGTTTGTGTCCCCCAGGGCTTAGACCTGGCCCCACAGGACATCATTCAAGTTCCCAGAGTTTTATTTTCCACTGTCAACAGTTTTTGGCTTGGTCTCAGAGAATCTTCCACCGCTTGAAAGGTTTTCCTTTTCTATTATTGGGTATTGCTCATTTAAATATCTCTCTACCATTACATCTATCCCTACTGCAGCTGGCATCTTTTTCGTCTGTTCAGGGAGAGGTGCCAAGAGTGGCCCTGTAAGGCAATGGCTCGGACCAGTCTTCCAGAACAAGTCACCAACTGAGATCCTGATTCAGGAGAAACCACCTCACTAAGGCACCCAGGAGCTTGGCAGGGTGCTGGCCTGCGTTTTCCGAGAACTCGAATGAAGGTTGACCCCAAAGTCCTCAGGAAAGCTACACCACAGCAGCGCCTTCCTCTCCCTGCCTCTGCTTCTCTCAGCAAGCCTGTGAGCTGAAAGTCAGACTCAGGCATTGGTGATGTTCCCCCTACTGCCAGCCCCCTTCAGCACAGGAGGATGCTCAAGGAATCGTGCAGTGCAACCTCCTCCGTGTTGTGACTGCACAAGCCTAATTATTTAAAAAAAAACCAGGTGGCCCCAAGTCTTTATCCAAAATGCTCTTTAGAGAGAGGCTGATGGGCGGACCCTAAGCCCACTGCAAGTCCACCTTACCCTGGCTGCCTCCTCAGGAAATCTGATGCCATCGATCTGCCACCTCTTTAAGGCCCATCCTGGCACACCACTCCCCCTAATCCTTTTCACTCACCATGAAAGCCACGAGGAAGAATCTTAGAATCTTCCGTCAGCTCAGGTGCTTGAGGTGGAGGGAATGTTGGAATAATTTCACTTTAGAAAAGGCAGAGCTATGGGGAGCCTTTTCTTCTGAAGTTACTTTGGGGAGATCCTTTGAGTACCCTCCATGTTTCATTAATAATTAACGGCAGGGCCCTCCCTGGTGGCGCAGCGGGTTGAAGCACAGCACTAAGAAGCAAAGGCCACTTGCGCATGAGTTCGATTCCTGCCTGCCCCAGAGGTGACCACATAGCGTGGCAGACCTCTCCTGACCTGCCCGCTGCTCCCCTCAGCAGTGTACTTCTGTTCTGCTCCCCGCTCTGTCTCTGGTGAAGCCTCTTGCCGCCCCTGAGCCTCTGGCCTGTACCCCACTTCTGTATGCGCAAATAAAAAAATAAATCTTTAAAATAATAATAATAATTAACGGCAGTAGCCTGATAGCAGGCTACTGACTGTTCAGATATGTAGTTACCAATATTCAGTAGCGAAAGATGGACTCTAAATCTCCTTACTTGGGTGGCAGAGGCCCCCAAAAGTTTTAAGTAATGAACATAAGAAAGAGATACCTTTTGTACCTTTTCCGTGAGGCCAGGAGATGTCTGGGCTGTAGGTGCCATCTTCACACTCCGAGTAAGTCTAGGGAGAGGGGAGGCTTCAGTCCTGCAATTTCCAGTATCCCCAGGGATGAGGGATTGCCTGTCTGGCCTCTCTGGTGTGAACCCCAACTCATGCCCATGCTTCTCAGCTGTCAAACCAAGACTAAGACTAGCTGCAGGTGATGCAGAATCAATCTAAAAAGTGCCTTTAGTTGCTTAGACAAAAGGTAAAAGCTATTATTTTCACTAAAAAAAAAAAAAAAAAAGTACAGCAGCTAAGACGGCTATAGATGTGATCTATTCACATCTCTTCCCTGCTTAACCCTCATCCCTACCCATAGGTGGGTTTTGTGATGGGGAACCCCAAGTGGGTTGTGGGAAGAGGTCTGAATAAAACCTGTGTATCCAAACACTGGCTCTCACAATTTTTTGTTTAAACAAGCATATTGTTGAAAGTTTCCAACTCCTTATATAAAGGAGGATAAAAATATAGACCCACAGGAGAGGGCACTCACAGACATGGGCAGCAGAGCTTGGGAGTGAATCCCGACTGGACAAGTGTCTAGGGTGTCAAGATGGACTCTCCCGGCAGCCACTGAGCCCTCCCCAGTGAACACGCTCTAGGCCAAGGCTCCATGCAGGACATGCTCACTCTAAACAAGGGCCATCTCTGCTCTTCATTGTACCTTTTCTCGGTGACCGTAGTGTTCTGCATACCAGACCATGCCGTACAGACACAGGAAGGTGGTAAAAGCCTGAAGGGAAAGATGAGTACAAAGCTGTTTAAGAAATGATGTTGCACAGAAACACTCCGTTTGCTACCACGCCAGGTTTTGGGTGGGCATGTGTGAGACAGTTCGAGGCATCTCTGCCACCTCTCCTGGGTCCCCTGCTACAACACGGCTGGACACGGCAGGCCTGGAACACGAGAGGAGAGGAGGATGCAGCCCCGAAGCTTCCGACAAGGAGTCATGAAGAGACTGCAGCCACCACCGTGACCGTGCTGGAATACAAGGTCCTCTTCAGAAGCAGAGTGAGGCGGGATGCCTGTGGGGCAGCCTGGCAGGTTCTCCTGATGACAGGCGCGTCATTACTGGCTTTTAAAGGCCCATCCTGGCCACCGTATCCCCCCCCACCCTCCCACCCACTGGAGAGTTAAAGGACTCAAATTTGTCAGCTTCTGTGGGAAAAGGACTTCAGCATGTAAGTCTAGGTCACAGAATTGCTGGAGAGGGCGCACTGAGAAATGAAGCCCTGTGTGGGAAGCAAAGCAGGACGGTGTGGCCCTGGGTTTTGCACCTCACCCCAGTTTCTGTTGCTTTTGCTTTTCTTGTTTGGGTAGGGAAAGAGCAAATAAAAATGCCTTGTAGGCTACTGAAAGTGAGAAGCCGTGCTCAGGAGCCCTCCCATGCGGGGGGGGGGGTACCTCCACCTTAGTACCCCCACCCACCCTGCACCAGTCCCTAAAACGCCCTCAAAGTGAGAGGGAAAATAGCATCTGCAAGAGTCCAAAGCATAAAAATGTGAGAACATTGAAAACTGGGAGAAGTTTCTGGGCGTCGAAGTGGTGGAGGAGGGAAGGCCTGCGGGAGCAGGGGGGATGGATCTCGGCTGGTTCTTGCCCCAGGCCTTACGCCCAACAGTAAGCAAATCGGCCAGACTAAACGACTGCTTGTTGCACCATTACATTTCTTGGGGATTCCATGTTTTAGAGTTTCTTCCCTAAGGAACACCAAACCATCCTCATCATCTAACTGTGACGGAATGCTATGCATTCCCTTTTCCTGCGGGGGTCCTGTTACCTGGTCCTAACCGTGGGGACAGCCATGGGGTCGTACTGGAATCTTCTCTTCTGGAGGGCACTGTTTTTATTATTTCATGAATCATAACTTTGGATCTTTTTGAGAGGGTCACCTCGGAATTCATTAAGTCCAGCTCCCCTCATTTCACAGCGGAGGGGAAATGTCCTTGTCACCGCTGTGGTGCAGCAGAACTGGAGCCAGCAGGCACGTCTCCACCCAAGTTTTAGGGACGGCTGTCATGATAAACAGTGACTTTCTATCTGCACACTTTCAGGTCTCTGGCCACTCATGCGATCCAGAGAAAGAAAAGCATGGTGGAACAGCCTGCAGCAATGTCCCATGGCCCCGTCTGGGGGTAGGGGAGGGGGAGGCAGAGGTGTGAACTGTTACTTCTGCAGCTTGCTGTCTAGCTCTGGCCCACTTCCTTGAGTCAATCACATGTACTGTCTGCTGGGCGACAGTTTCCTCATCAGTGTCAAAAAAGGAGTCCATGTGACCCCACCGACCTTCCCCTTCCACTTTCATCCCTGACTATGAGGGAGAGATGGCAAGAAACAGGAAGAGGTTCCTCCTCCCCCTGTCCATTTTATATTAAACCCATATGTAAAGGGATGGTTGGAGCTGGCATTTTCATTTTTTAAAAAAAAGATCACATGCCACTATCAAAAAACAAAGCAGAAAGTTAATGTGTTGAAATGATAAAATGAAAACTACTTCTCACCTTGAACACAGATATTCACCTACCCTTTTCCTCCATGGAAACAGAAGGGAAGACTAGAGATCTTGAGTGTGTAATGTCTGTATGCGGTCTGTCTTTACAAAGCAAACAGGTCACTCTGGGGCCCACAGGGCCAGCAGGAGGACAGTGGCCATGCCGTGGGGGTGGGGGACACTGGCCAGAGCAGCGGTTTTTCCAAGGGAGCCAGGAGCCAGGACGGGCTAGCTGTCGTTGTGCATTCTGCCCACCAGAGGGCACACGTGTGGGCTCTGCCTTCCCTGTGCAGCCCTGGGAGGGCAGGGCAGTGGCAGGGGCAGCAGACATGGCAGCACTGGCTTCCCAGCCAGCACACAAACCCTGACAGGTGGCGAGCAACAGGTGCTTATCATCACGATTGCCACACAAAGGGTCTGCTGTGGGTGCCAGATTTACCACTCGTCTGGGTATAGAAGCCCATTTTCCACTTGTCCCAGGAGACCAAAAGCTTGTAATTTATGGGTGTGTAGTCACACCTGTGCAAATCTATGCATGTCTCCACTTAAAATGTCAAGGCCTGGATTTAAAATAGTAATCATTCAGATTTTGTTTAGTGACAGAGAAGAAAAATATGTGGAACAAGCTCCAAGGTGGTCCAGGACGATGGGTGGAAAGCCGGGAGGGCCTGGGCCCCAGCCCAGCCTCCTGTGGGCAATGTGAGCGTGCAAGCTTACAAGGACAGGTCAGACCACTGTGCTGGGGAAGCCTGTTCCCAAGCACAAGGGGTCTTTGCTTCCATATTAATCTCACGCTCTGGATGTGCTGTCTCATCACACCGGGGGAATAACTGGGGCGGGGGGCGGGGCTCAAGGGGGCTGTTTTTAAGTAGTGGGGAAGCACAGCATAACCTCGTGCTCTCTCTCTTTTTTTAAAAAGTTTATTTATTTGTGCATACAAGAGTTGGGGTGTAGGCCAGAGGTGCTGGAAGTGAGAAGATTCATCAGAGACAGAGTAGGGAGCAGAACAGGTAGACCTATTGAAATACACTGCTGAGGGGAGCAGTGGGAGAGAAAGGAAAGGTCTGCTGCACCATGTGGGTCACCTCCCTGGCCAGGGATCCAACTTGTGCAACAGAGGCTGTGGATAGCTTCATAGTGCTGAGACTTAACCCCTTGAGCCACCAGGGAGACCCAACCTTATGCTATCTTATTGAATAGTGCTCACATCTCTATTGAGATCAATCTTGATGTCAAATAAATATGAAAAAGTATGAGACTTTGTTTCCAATCTTCTTTAATAACTGTGATGGCCAGTGGAGACCGCTCACCCTAGCCTCTCTCTGAGCCAGGCCCACCGCCATGGCACTCGTCACTGAGAGCACTCTCTAGCTTCTCAGCCTCAGCCTGGCCTCTATATGCAGCTGCTCCCCTAAATTACACCCTCACCCCCACACTTTTTCCCTCCTACCTAATCCAGTAGCTCCCAGCTCGGAGACCAGTTTCCAATAATACAAGAAATTTGAAATTCTAAAGATCTCTCCAACTCCAGTACTCCTGAATCAAATTCATCTCCTTTCAACAGTTTCTCTGACACATCCCCTTTTTTACTAGAACAGGTAGCTTTGGTTCAGTCTTAGTCACTTCTCACCTAGGGCCCTGCAACTCCTTCAGACCACATACCTCTTTCATCTTCCTTCCTGCCAGGCTGAGATAAAAGGCTTTTCTCACTAAAAAACCTTTAGCCTAAGCAGATACCCCTTCCTCTTCTCTGCACGTCTGTTCTCCTCACTCTCACTCCCCCAACAGGCTGCCATCTTCCTGGGGCACTGGGCACAGGCCCAGCTTCTTGTCTGCTGGCCCCTCAGCCAGCCTGTAACTCTCCGGGGAGTCTCACCTCCTTCAAACCTCTCTGTGCTCCTCGCAGCCCTCAGCACTAGGTGAGGACGGCACCATCTCCGCCCTCGTCCGCAGCAGGTGCCTGAGAAGCGCACCAGGCACATCTGACACAGTCCCCTAAATGATCCCTCTAGCTCATCTCACTGGGATGTAAAAAATTCATTCAAACCTTAATTCTGGAGTTCAAATACAAAGGAGATCATCATTCCCTTTTTATTGTTCAAGATAAAACAGGGCAGAACAGGCTTAAGGCGCCTGGTACCAGCAGGATGTCTGACAAGTACTCCTAAAAATAGGTACCATGCAAGGCAGTCAAAACACTTTTAAAACACAAAGTTTAGTCTTGTCAAAAGAGAAAAAAAGACCTAATCTGATTAAACCTCTGGTTTGAGTTACCAATTTACAGAACATACATAGGGCAAAGAAATCTGTTAAGTTACAGGATAGAATGGAGCCAGCAAAATCCAGACTGTGGGAAAAGCTACGGGATAAAAGAGCTGTTTTTTCCCCCAACAAATAAACTGCAAAAATGAGTGAACTAGAGACAGAACAAAACTACAGATGAAGGTGGAAAGGCACACCAGCCAGGCGTGATGGGCGAAGGTGGGTCTCAACAGCTGCTAAAAGTATAAAATTGAAGAAAATATTGGCTTGGACATTTATTAGCTACTTGATAGTATTAAGGCATTAATGTTAAATTGTTTTCAGCTATGATAATAGCATGGCACTTGCCTTAAACAAATAAAAGCATGCTTATCTTCTTGGGAGATACCTCCTGAAATAGTCAAGATGGAGCCGCTTGAAATAAGTCAGGGTCAGGCTAGTGAGAAGGGGTTATAAAGTTGTTAGTTGTGGAAACTGATGAACACAGGACGGTCATCCGTTCCATCTACTTGCAAATAGCTTTGAAATTTTCTATGATTATAAAAAAGCCCTAGGTAAATTTCTAGACTAAGTAAAACAAAGGATTTAAACATAAATGTAAAATAAGAACTCTTCCAAAATAAAATAAGAGGGGCAGACACCAAATGTTTAAGTTGGTTAAGATCTATTTCATTTGAAAAGAGGGAAAAGCCACAGGACAGTGGGGCTGGCTCGTCCCCGCCGAAGAGCTCACCTGCACGGGCCTGACCTGTGAACGGCCAGGTATGCTCACCTCTAGGACTAGTCACATTCCCTATACACTGCAACCTGTCGTCTTGCACATAAACCCTATGAAGCTACACACATGTTCTGGCGCTCTGGAGCTAGCCGTGTCCCTTCAGGGCAGGCCTGATACTCTTAGCACAGGCTGACAAATTCCTAAACACAAGCATGTGGCATCTGCCAAGAGCATCAGACCAGACCCAGCCAAGGCTACTCATGAGGCTGTCCGGGGTCCATGTGTTTCAACCTTGAACTTTAGAGACACTTTCAGGTAAAACGTATTAACTTACCACGCAAAGAAGCCACAGCACGACGTAGAGTATTTGGGTCTTAGAGAAGAGATCTTGTCCGAATTTTATGCAGACAATAGCTTCCAGGAAGCCAATGACCCTATTAGAAAACAACAGGTCAAATATTAATTTATCATGCTGGAGCAACATAGGTTGATAGAAATATACATTGGTCCACCAAAATTGTACATTATTCCATCCAAAAGCTTAACTGGTCACAAGAGTTCTGTCTGAAAAACTACAGGCTGGTCCCCCACCAAATGACATTGTTCTAGCCTGCTGCACTGTCTTCAGAAATAGCATACATGTGATTTAATAACAAGTTAGTTTTATTGTCACCCCCCTTTTCTTTTTATTAAGACTTCAAAAATTATTTTATTTCACCTTTACATTTTAAAAGAATTGGCTTATTAGGAAAGGAGAGGAAAGAGACACCTGCACACTCAAAGGCAGGCAGGAGCGCTGTCTCAAGGCTGTTTTAGATTCACAGCAAAATCGCAAGGAAAACAAACTTCCACATACCCAGCGCTCTCCACATGCAGTCTCCCCGCAAGCAGAAGGGCACATGTATTGTAACTGATGAACCTACTTTAACACACTGTTATCCCCCCTCGTCCATGGTGTACCTTAGGGTTCACATGCGGTATCAAACGCAAACGTACACTGACAAGTATACCCACCATTATAGGATCATACAGAATATTTTCATTTCCTTCAAAATCCTCTGTGCTGTGCCTGTTCATCCTGCAGCTCCCAAACCAAAATCTTAATTTGAATAGCTGAGGATACTTGGTGCCATCTGGCTCAGAGCCTCTGTGGCCCTCGGGAGGGTGGCCACATCTGTGTGGTAGACAGACAGAGCCCACCACCGCCCTGGGTGGCTTATCCCACCGCTCAGCTTCAACCGCTCCAGCTTCTCCTGGTCTCAGGCTGGAATCCACCTCCTTCCACCCTTGGCACGCAGGCCACCCTCCAGCAGTCCAGCACAAGTTTGAGCCTTCCAAGAACTCCGAAGAAAGCAGTCCCACCCCTCAGCCTTCTACAGACGTCCAGATTCAATATCCTCCACTTTTGATGGCAACCTAAGTACCTGATCATCTCTTGATTTGTAAGCAATTTCACAAAATACTTAAAATGTTTTTTTTGTGGCCCTCCCCGGTGGTACAGCGGGTTGAAGCGCAGCACCGGGAGGCTAAAGCCACTGCAGCATGAGTTCGATCCCCGCCTGCCCCAGAGGAGACCACATGGCGTGGCAGACCTCTCCTGACCCGTCCGCTGCTCCCCTCAGCAGTGTACTTCATCGATCTGCCTGTTCTGCTCCCCACTGTCACTGGTGAATCCTCTCACCGCCCCTGAGCCTCTGGCCTGTACCCCAGTTCTGTATGAATAAATAAATCTTAAAAAAAAAAAAAGTTTTTTTGTAAAGATTATGTTTTACCCACTAATTAAATCATGGAAAAATGTCACTCCTGTGTTCTATGTATTCGTGAATATAAAAAATAGACTTCTACAAAGGTTCAGAGCTTGAAGGCAAGAACAGGTGAGGGGACAGCTGCCCTTCAGTCAGACAAGATACTGCGAGAGCTTCCTGGATACTCAAGTCTACGGAGTCACCTGGGGCCTCCCTCAAATGGCCTTGCCACCCTGTGGTCATGAGGCTCCAGATGGTTACCCGCTGGAGCCAGGAGGTCAGCGGGCTGGCTGGAACCCACTCTGGGCACCTATCTTCTGAAGCCAGTGGCCTCCTGACCATGAGTTATAAGGGGAGAGCACATCGATATTTCGGCTGCCGGGGGCCACTGCCTGGAGAAGCACAGAGACTCCTATCCTAAGGTTAGAAGACTTGGGGACATTCCCAGCTCCCCACTCCGGGGAGCCTGCTCTTTGGAGACAGGGTAGGAATAAAGTGATCATTAATGCAGAGCCCAGGGTAAGGAGTTGTGCACTGAGTGAATCAAGAACGTGGGCAGGCTCCTACAGACACTCAGGGAGGCACATGCAAGGCTCTGTGTGGTCCGGGGCACACAAGCCAACTCTGACAAGCTGAAGATATTTTCCCTTTGCCAACAACCCTGCTCTTGGAGTCTGACGATACCATACCCACTGGCACCCACAAAGACTGCTTGGCTGGCTGCACAAGGCATCATCATGGGAACAGCTTCATGGGAGGGAGAGCCACTCTGGAGCCAGCCAGCTAGGAGCTGACTCTCCAGGAGTAGAAACCAGACATGTGTCCCGTGACACAGCCAGTGTAGCATCACACAGGGGCAGGCAATGTTCCCAGAGCTCAGGAGCAAAGCTCCAGTTCTGATCAATGTTTGCAAAGGCAGCTCTCTGCAGGAAGTGAGCTGGGCTAGGCACGGGCAGAGTCGTCTGTTCCCTTCAGTGAGCTCCCATCCCAAACAGCACAACTCCAGCAGGCTGTGGAGGGGAATGGGAAGCCAGCAAAGGAAACTGAGAAACAGAAAAGCAGGATGACAGGACCGCTGTTGACAAGGAAAAAGACAGTTTCAAGATGGCAAGTGCTGTGGAAAGAGAGGATGGAGAAAAGACTTCCAGGTTAGGGAGTGACTTTGCACAGAGAAGTCCAGACTACTGGAGTGGAAGCATAACGCAGAGGGAAACTTGCCAGGTTGGGACGGCGGCAAGGACAGATTGGGGACCCCTCGGCAAAGTTGGCCCTTACCCTCCCCATGACTGTTTCAAGGAAAGTGACTCCTCACTCCACCACAGACAGAGCTTCCAGGGCCAAGTGATCACACCTCCTCCTTCACAAACCAGCCAGTTCTCTCTTATTACCAGGTGGGAGTGTAGAAGGTGACCTCTGGCACACATTTGGGGGATGTGTCCACAGGGGTCTGGCCTCCATCCTCCCACTGAGCCGACGTGGCGTAATGTGACTTTCTAAATAGAAAAGGAGCCAACTTTTCCACGCGGCAGCTTTCTCCCTGGTGGGGTTCCTATTCCCTCACTGGAAGAAGCCCTATCTCCACTGTGCACAGCACATTCAAGTACAAAAAGCTTAAAAGCTCAGATCAATGGTACAACTGCAGGAGGTCATAGTGTAAGTCGTGTTTCCTTACAGCCGCGGGTAATTAACACCAACTTTGTGAGGGTGTAATATTTACAGGAGAGAAAAGTGCCCTTTTGAAGAGAAGACACGGAGTGGTGGGAAAGATGCCTCAGCTAGCCCTGACCTTCCATTTCCCCAAGGGCAGAAGTCAAATGTTGCCACAGGGGGTGCTCTTTCTCTGCTCCCTTTGCTAAGGCCACCAAAGCCTGAAATCAGTGGAAATAAAGCTGTAAGGCAGCTACTACTTTTTGACGGAAACGAGGAAGTAAAGACAAACTAAGGGCACCAGGGAGGCCGGAGGGAAGAAGGGACAGCAGTGGACAGGGCGGGGAGGAAGGGCCCCCCCGTCCCTGAGCAAACATTCAGAAAGGCGCACTGCTGACGGGACTGGCCTGTAGAAGGCAGCTCTTGCCAGAGTTGTCGTCCCACCAGGGTAGGTCACGGTGTGACATTTGTGAAAAGGGATTTGCTATCTCTCAGCGTGGCCCACCGGTTCTCAAGATTCATTAATCTTGATACCACTAATCTGGGAGTGCTCAAATCTCAAACATGCTGAGTAAGCCAAATGACCTCGCTCCTTCGCATTTTATTTTCTTCTATCACTTTTCAAGCAGATCTTGGCACAGCTCTGCCGCAGGATGCACTAACTACTCGGCCTAGTTTAACTGCCATTTCTCCCACCGCCAGGATTATCATTTTTGGCTGCCTAATTAGAAACTGTGCTGTAACGTTACCTCTCTCTCTGATTTATATCTCCCTCCCTAAACAGATGAACAGAGACAGTTCAGTGGAAAATTATGCACTGGCAGTAGAGTAAGTCTTTGCCACGGACCTTTGAGTATCAAGGGGGAAGGACATGTTGAAGTAGCATCTGAGAGGCAGCAGGAGGAACTCAAATGGTGGAGTAATCACTTCTTCCTTGGACAAGACTGTAAGAAGGAAAGCCCACTGCCCTCCCTTCTACTGTGTGTGCAGGAGAAATTGCACTCAAAAGTAAATGCTCTTTCCCACTAGATCACTAAATAATGGGGGTCTGATCCAGCTGATGATATTTGAAGTTGCAATCACTGTTGGGTAGCAAAATCAGCTTACCTCACAAAATTTATGAGAGACCAATGACAATGGCCCTTTGACTTTGGGGGAGGGGGGTGCAGAGGAGGGATCTTCTTAAATCTACCTGCAGTAAACCTCACAGAATCTGACTCACACACACATAGAAATGCTTAGAAGAAAAGATTTCAGATGATCTTTAATTTCTTCTTTTCTGAGTTACATCAACATGAACATTTTAACTGGGGGAAAAAATTCTGTTTAAAAATTTCTTGAAAGTTACCATTTCTTCCCTGTTAGGGGTTTTCATTATACTGTTGTAGCCAATTTAGACCCCAGACCAAATCCTGAATCTGTTACCAAAGAAATGAACGTCAAGCACAGATCTGCTGGACATCTCTGGAACTTCGGCTGTTAAACAGCATGGTAAATTACTGATGATGTTTAAATACAAGAATGGCATAGCTGACATACTAAGGAGGGTCACAGTTAAAATGGGGGGGGGGGCTTACTAGATGACCCATGGTCTCTGTCAAAACATTTAAGGTAGGGCAAATGAAAATACAGCATTTGTATCTGTAACAAGACAACTAATTATGGCCACCCGACTGTGTGTTCATCCTCTCTGAAATAAGATTGTATCTTAGTAAGTAACAAGGGGCTGTTTTGAGGAATCTTTTGGATGTGAAAGTAACATGAAGAGTGGGTAAATCCATCACAAGGTCATGTCCTGAACTTATCATGGAATTCAAACCCATTTTCTATTTTATTTAATCAAACAAGGACACTGAATTCAATGCTAGAAGCATTTTCTGATTTCTTAACACTTGTTTAAAAAGGAGTTTCTGTTTCTTCTTTCTGTAATTTCCCAAAAATCTACTCCAAACTTAAGTGAGAAGAGAGACTGTTACAAATAAAAGAATATATGAAAAACCAAGCAAATCATATTCACCTGCCTTCATGGGAAAACTGGATTACCTTAGGCCCTTCCTGGTGGGACAACAGGTTAAAACACAACACTAAAAAGCTAAAGCCACTTCAGCATGAGTTCGATCCCCGCCTGCCCAGGAGATGACCCACATGGAGCAACAGACATCTCCTGACCTGCCCTCTGCTCCCCTCAGCAGTGTACTTTGTCAGTCCACCTGTTCTGTTCCCCACTCTGTTTCTGGTGAAAGCTCTTATCGCCCTTGTACCTCTGGCTTGTACCCCAGTTCTGTATGCATCAGTAAATAAGTCTTTAAAAAAAAAAAAAGTACTTACCTCAGGCCTTAGCAACAACCAAAGAAATTCAGAGGCCTGAGTGGGTTTTAAATCTCCACATTAACAGGTTACTCACCCAAACACCCAGCACTGTGTTCCTACGCGTTTGCACTGCGTGTCGGTGAGGTATGCGTAGTACTGTCTGAAAGAACAAAGGTGGAATTCATTGAGAGCTTCTGGAAGACCAGCAAGTCAATACAGAGTTAAATCACGCTTGACAGAGTGGACATAAAAAATATACCCCTGCTCCACAAACCCAAGCTGCCTGCGGTAAGGAGTGAGGAGGCCAGTTCCCAATAAGTTTAGTGTCTGGGTTTAGGGCAGAGTGAGGGAATCAGATTTTAAGAACCTGATCATTGGCACAGGGAGTTGTGATTCTGCAACGGACCCCACAGTCTTGGGCCAAAGCAACCTTAGGAGGGCACTTTAGCCCCCCTCTGTGGAGACACAGAGGGTCATCTACACTATGGAAACCAGTGTCTGTCACTCCGTTCTCTCCAGGACAAAGATCATAACCTGGAATAACAGTAGGTCCTCACTCAACATCACTGATAGGCTCCTGGAAACTTATTTCATGTGAAACAACAAAAGTTGTTCCTCCAATAATGCTGCCTCGCTCCACTTCAGGTAGGGGAGTTTTCTCATTAACAACATAACAATGTACGTGCACTGTTGGAAGGGGACCCTAGTAGTATCTCGTTGCTGAGTAGAGGGGCCAATGAAATGGAGGTGAAGCATGCCCACAAGGGCAACAATATGAGCCACAAATGCCATCTTCAGTTTTCCAGTAGTTGTTTGGAAAAAAATAAAAGAAACAAAAAACTTCATCTTAATGTTGAGAACATAGAAGAGGTGTTTTGTATTTCTGTGTACTGTGTCTTTGAAATCCAAATCTGTATTTCATGTGTACGGCACATTTCCATGCAGACGGGCCACGTTTCTGTGCTCCAGAGCAACACCGTGGCAAGTGGCTGCTACATCGGACAGCACAGCCTCAGAATCTCATGGATCCCCCCAAAACATAATCCATCCCTCCAGAGGCAGCACCTGAAGCAGGAGCTCATCATATTTGGAGGTCAGAGAATCCTGATCACAGTGAAATTCCATGACAAATCAAACAATTCTGTTTCATAAAAAGTAATTTTTTCCTCTTTGTAGTGACTTAGATTGATTGCTCTGAATTTTCTGAAGGAACTGCTGTTCACCTTTTCTGATCATAATCATGAACCTCAAAATTAAATTTTAGCTGAGGGAGGGTGGTTCCAGCAGGGGGGAGAGTAAGGAAAGGGGGGAGAGGTCAGCACTTAACGAGTTTACTACTTCAATAGACTCCAACCTATGAAGTGTTAAAGGGCTGCTGCATCCCAATGTCCCATGTTCCAGTTTGGTTCATAATAAAAAGAGATGGAATTGTGGGCCTAATTCTAAAGGGCTCAGCTGTGTTTTATTTGGTTTATTCAATCCCTGATCTGGGAATAGGTTCAGAGGTATATGTTTGTAATAATGACTGATGACAAGAAGAGGTGTTGGCTGGAGTGGGGCAGGGGACATCTGTCTGACCAAGAATACCCACTCCCTTTGGCAAGGGGGGCCCTCTACTTGACTGTTTTGCAAGTGCATGGGAAATGATGAATTAAGTTATCCTATAGCTTCTGAAAAACTTTTAACTGCTTCGTTCATATCTGTGTCAACAGCGCAGAGATTGTTGGTATTGTTACTGATCAATGCGTAACTCTATATCAGGTATAAAGCCCAAGTGCTGTGTCTAAACAGGAAAAATGATGATGTTTCCCTTGGCAGGTCACTGAGAGCTGATGTGAGGGACAGTCTCTAACTCACACCTGGGGCCCTACAGAACGCCAGGAGTACCTGCACCAACACCAGAGCCTCTCTCAGCTGCTCAGTCCTGGTGGACAACAGGAAGGAGCTTCTGGACAGGAAATGACCACTGGGAAGGGTCTTGGTTGTCTGTATCTGGTTTCACCCGGACCACACCCTACACTTGCCTTTCCCATTGCTGATTTTGTTTTGTATCCTCTTTCACTGTAATAAATCATAGCCAGAGCACGACTAGAAATAAGTTTTAAAAATAAAAGAAAATGAACTTATTGGCTCTAAGAGCTAATAACACTTATTCTAAAAATAATACCGCTCTGGACTTCAAATCCACCATATAAACTTCTGTATTTTCCCATAATCTCATTTTAAAAAATGAGCGGCACCACTGCTGCTTATTTGCTTATTCATTTTGAAACAGGATATCATAAGATCAAAAACAAACAAACAAACAAACAGCAGCAGTGGAACTGTAAAGTGGTTTGAAATCAATGGTCAGCTGCTTGTTCTCAGTTGTTACCGAGGTCTGGGAATAAAATATTTACTTCATATTTCAGAGGTACAGTTCTTTAAAATGATGTTTTCATGGAAACTTACTAGCCCATGGAAATTCCCTTATGTTAACTAGCAGAACAACGTAAAACAGGCACCATGCTCAGAGACAGCCAGGCGTGTAGAAGTTACCTCACTGTGGGAGCTGTGATGCCTCCAATAAAGAGAATCCTACACCAGCTTAATGGGTGACTGGCTTGGAACACAAAGATGTGTTTCAGGAAGAAAGTATTCAACTCAGTCAGCTGAAAAAGAAGGAGGAATTAGTCAGTTCAATCCTTCCTGCCAACTCATACTCATAGATTCCTTAGTTGGTCATTTTACAGCTAAAAATAACTCGTATGCACAAAGCATTTTCAGACCTACACAGGGTCTTCTGAAGGTTGCTATTCAAACAAGGTAGCCAGTACAATATGGACACCAACCAGATGGGGGTGCAGGGACAGTTGCTGGGTGGAAGGAGGGGAACATATGGGCATCAGCCATTTGGCCAAGTTTCCTGGTTTGTGACTGTCCCTTGGGTCACGTGAGTGATCTGCTGGGACAGTAGGGTGAGCTGCTTTGAGAACAGCAGAAATTATGAAAATAGGTACATGCCAGGGAGCACCTAGGCAGCCCCGCAGAAGTCAGGCCTGGTCTGCAGGAAGTCTGACTGCAGGAAAGTAAGTGCTCTGACAACCTAAAAAAGCACTGAGAGATGATATGGACGTCCAGGACATGTCAGGAACTGAGGAGATCCGTAACAAAAGGCAGCTGCAAAATGTGCAGCGTCAGTCCACGTTTCACTGAGGGGTAGGGTGCATCCCCAGGGTTAGAGGTTGGCATCCTGGCATAGCGCATCAGATGACTAATCTTCCCTGAGCTCCTACACATTGCCCACAGGGGAACAGCTGAAGCACAGCTCTAAAAATCAAACACTGATTGAGAATGTAAGAAAAAGCCACCTCATTTGTTTTTTTGATCATTCTGCAAAGCAACCTAATGGCTGATAGAGGGCTCACCACCAGCTTTCCACAGGGAATTTTAATGGTTTTAATTCATAATTCTAAGATCTATATTTTCAAAGGTCTTTACAAAGGAAGCAAAACTTTACTACAATAAATAAACTTTCTTCTATCACGCTACATGTCAACTGCAGACTATTAGATCATCTGTTAGCGATGTCAACTGAGAATAACTTTGAATTCCTGGATGGTTTTTATTTTTCTTTTCCTGTCCCTAGTTTTGGGCACCTGAAAAAAAATACCTGCCAGATGATCATGAAAAGGTAGACTCCAGCCACTCTCTGAAATGAAGACTTGGGATCAAACCATCGAACATAGGTCCAGCTGGCAGGAGTGAACTGGAGCACAGCTCTCTTGATTTTCCCCGTGGTGGTGTGGATGTCCCTGCAAGAAGAGATGGCGCCAGTGACAATCCAGAGAGAGAAGGAAGGGAAACAACATCAAAACAAGAGAAAACTGGGTATTGACTCTACCACAAATACTTGAAACAGAAAGATTCTTTTCTATTTGAACTGTCTGCAACAGTGGTCTCTACTCACTGCTGTAGCGGCACACTCAACTTCCAGAAGGGTTTGGAACAGGGCACAGGGCAGGTGAGTGGAGAGCCAGGAGAGGCTTGGAGTTTGGAAACGGTGACAAGAGACACTGAGAGGCATTAAAGACAACCACTGGCACCGGGCTAGGAAGACTGAAGTATCAGCAGGACATGGTTCCCACACTGTACCCCTTTCAATTTGGGAAACAGTAATAAGACAACCATCTTCTTGAGATCACCCACAATATTGCTTTAACCTATTTCTTTCTCAGATAAATAAAGACTTAGAGTTGACAGTAATTTTTAGCAGTTTTTTAGTTCTAACCCCACAAATCACTCAATTAATCCTGTTATTCTCCCATGGTAGAAATAAAGAGCCACATATTTTACAGGTGAGGACACTGAGGCTCAGATTCCAGCCCCCTCTTGCTAGTCTGGGAGGGCTAAATTCAAGGCAAAGTGCACTTAATAACTAGTAAAGATTTCTGAACTACACAACTTTATATCAAGGACTTGCATGTCTCAAACTCTATAGAGTATTAAAGGCAAACAAACAGGTCAGGCCTTGGGAAATGGGTCTGAGCTTTCGTTCCACACCTACCCAACAATGAGAAGGATTTGTTGTTTATTAATTAGAATTACATTTTGGTAAACTGCAAAACTGATTTTTGAAGTAAATTTGAAGCACAAATGTATGAAAATAGGAAGAAACATATGGCAGTTTTTGAGGAGCCAGACAGCAGACTCAGCTGCTTGTTAGCTAGCTGTCCTCAGCAAATTACTAAACCAAAGTCTCAAGATCATCATCCTTGAAATGAGATGATGTCTACCCTTAGGATTGATATAAGGTCAGTATGAGATATTGCTTAAAAATCTTGCTTGGAGAATCCCAGCACAGCTACAATTTTGTTTATATCATATAGCCCTAAATGTATTAAAATGTGTCCTTTCAGCTCAGTGGTCAAAGAAAGGATTATTTAATAAAAGCAATGAGGATATTGGTTAATCAATTGCAAAAGCATTGTGAAATCTTCCCCTTATACATCAAAATAAGTTTGAGAGAGATTAAATAAGTTACTAGTACAAATTAACAGTTACCAAAACAAAAATATTAAGTGCTTTAAATTTAAATGGAAAACCTACCACAAGCAAAATTAGAGGTGACAAATGGAAAATAAAGTCACATTTTTATAAAAGCACTAACAAAAGGAAAAATCCAGTAGAAATTCTGTATCATAATATTGTATGTGACAAAACTGACAAAGGTGTAAAAATAAAACTCAAACAATGAAATGGACACAAACATATATTAGGATACAGGTGAGAATATAAATTGATATATTCTTTTAAAGTATTAACTTACAGAACAAAGTCAGAAATACACACTAATATATGTCTGAGAGTGTTCTCTAGCTTTCTTCATAAAACTGAAAATTCGGGCACAACTGAATGACCATAAAAGGAAAGTGGTTAAGGGCCCGACCTGGTGGTACAACGGGTTAAAGCACAGAACCATGACGCTAGACACAGCCACCTCATGAGTACGATCCCCAGCCAGGGAGCTGACCCACATGTTGTGGCAGACCTCTCCCGATCCACACACTGCTCCCCTCAGCAGGGTATTTACTGCTCCCCTCAGCAGGGTATTTCATCGATCTGCCTGTTCTGCTCCCCATTCTGTCTCTGGTGAATCCTCTCACAGTCCCTAAACCTCTGGCCTGTACTCCAGCTCTGTATGCATAAATCTTTAAAAAAAAAAAAAAGAAAGAAACTGGTTAAGTACTTTGTGGTTTCTTTATATATTAAGATATGAAGGATTCTTGTAGAAATATGTTTTCAGAAGAATATTTACTGGGAGAAAAATGTTCATATTTTGCTATATAAATAAATGATCTTCTGCACACAAAAATGACTGGTTTCATTGTCACTATCATTTCTCCTTTCCTCCTAATCGTGGGCGTGGTCCGTGCCACCAGCAAATGGAGCTGGCTCAGTGAGGATGGAAAGAACAGTGTGCGCCACCCTCCTTGGAGGTGCAAGCAGGTTAAACTAGAAAATCAGAGACAACTAACTACTGAGGAGACAAGTGAGCCAAGTCAAAGAAGGACTGGTCAGCCCAGCTCCTGAGTACAGGCGTCAACCCCACGTGCACAAGAGTACATGTGTGAACTCAGGACCTTGGGGTCCTTTGGAAAGGGACCTCACCCAACACGTCTGGGAGGTATTCTGGGTCAGAAAGACCATGAGACACCACCACAGGGGAACGCCATGATGAATGTGATGTTTTAGTGAGACCATCCAAGCCACTCAAACTAGGAGGAGCTGACAGGGAAGTAATCATGTGACAGCAGTCTGAGACATGAGGGTAAAAGAAGAGGGACGGATTTGAGAAATGTTTTAGAATCATGAGAATGATGGGATGTTCTAAAAATTGAAGGTGAGAAAGAGAAAACTGTGAATGGTTTGGCATTTTCTGAATGAATGGCTAAAGTTAGGTTCATAATTATGAGTTTCAATTACCAATGTATAATTTACTCCTTATCGTCGAAGACTGTACTAAAAGGCTACAGATGAAAGCATAGACATACAGATTGTGGGAACTGAGACAAATGTCCAAAAAGAAGATAACTCACTTGAAGCTTGCCCAGTGGTAAGTCCTCATCTCTAAGAACCGGCAAACCACCATGCCCAGCCAGATGCCACCGCCATTGCACAAGAGGATGTCCAGGATGACTTGATCCCACCAGCACTCAGCAAAATTGGGCAGAAGATGCATGAAAAAAAGCTGAGAAAAACAGAAGATGGTTGTAAAAAAAATAAAACAAAACTGGGTAACAGACCAAAAGATCAATTTCCTTTTAATAATACATGATATTTTAGGGAAAGTTGCTGACATTTCAGTTTTTCCTGATATGTCTAAAAAGATCAGGATCTATAATCTTGTTCTTGAGTTTTATATTGTGGATGGTCTGCAAATACTACAAAGTGAAACACCTTTTCTTTTTTGATACAGAACTTTAAAGACCTGATGGTCACTCTTGAAAACTACTACAATGAATTACTTAATGCCATGACAAGGACCCAGAAGGGAGAAAGGGGAAAAGTTTTCAAATCTGACACAGCATTTTCATAATCCTCCAATTAGCAGTTCAGACTTTCAAAATGTGCATTTCAGAAATATTCAATGATATTTACGTAAAATAATGAATAAACTGTAAAAAGTAGAAAGGTTAGATCTTCATGATGTGGAGGAAACTGATGGCTTAATAGGAAAACCTCATACTAATTGATTCATAATAAAGATGATCTTTTACTTATTAAGGGATATGTAAGATGGTGAGACCAACTGAAGGTTCTGTATCAAGGTGCTTAAAAAACTCAAGGGCAGGAATCAGATATTTGTTCAGAAACAAAATAAGCAGAAAATAGGCGGAGTCAGTGTGTTATGATGGTGACATAAATGGAACATGGCAAGGATGACACAGAGATTCATTCGACAGATGGCAATTGCAGAAGGCTCTGGAAGGAAGAAATTGAAATGAGCAGGGGCATTGCAGAAAGGAATGAGTGATTTTAAGAGATGGAGAGGAAGATGAGAATAAGGGGAACAGGAAGAGCAAGGGTGGAGCAATGATCTCTTAGGGAAGTTGTGTGCAAAACCAAAGTGTGAGGCTATGCCACAGCAACATGCTCCACTGGGTGAAGATCCACTTAAAGGAGGTCTGAAATCACAAAGACAATGCCTGGAAAATGCAAGCCCGTAATTACAAATCTCTGGTCATGTAATAGTTACTACATAGCAGTGTTCACTACAAAATGAAAGTACATTTTAGCCTACACAACAATATAAACATGAGGAATATGCCTTCTCAGGGAGCCTGTTGCCGAGAATGTGATGGCTCACGGCTGCATTCTTACCCAGGTGGGCCTGGCACTACCCCTAAAGGGCATTCAGTGCCATGAGATGGAGCATTAACTCTTGCCCTTACACAGAGGAGAGACACTGCAGCAGGAACAATGACACATATTTTCTGAAACAAACCTTTACAGGGGAATGGGAAGTGCAGTCATACTTGAACCTGATATTGAGTGTGAGATGGACTCTAGAGAGACCTGATATCAGTTGTAGGATCTGCAGGGATCACACTCACTCATTCCTGAGGGATTTGGGGGGGGGGGGATCTGCAAGTGTGAGGCAGAGTACTGGGGTCTGGAAATATGCAGACAAGGACGCTGCCCTCACAAAGCATAAAAGCAACATATTGAGTATCCAAAATGTGGGCAGGTGCACTTCATCCAGGAGCACCAACATGGAGCACAGGTGATGGAGGAGGTGGAAGGAAAGGCTCACACTCAAAGGTGTATCACATTCTGAGGGTTCAAACCACAGATTGTCTAGGAGACAGCCCACACTCTTCTTACCTCAGTTAGCTCCCAGGTAATACTGATTGTCCAACAGAGACCGTAACTACGGATCAATAAGGCCTTCATGGCCCAGCCCCAGAAATGCCCAAATGCAAATATATCAAAATGGCTGATAATCCTCTCCCAGGTGATAACATGGCAGTTTACCGCATAATCCTGTTAAAGTAAAACAGGAAATAATTATTGATATGCTAGAAACCAAATTTGCTTCTAGGATTATGACAATACAAGATTGGCCATGGAAAGAACACTCATGAAAAGATATGATGTGACCTCTTTATTATTCCACCCAATAAAAAAAGTTTTAATGACATAAGATTCTGGAGGAATAATGGGGAAGAATTAAGAATTTACCAATCAGGTTTGCTTTGCTTGACATTGCAAAAACTAGGTTATAATGGGAAGCATAACAATTTTATCAAGACTTAATATTTTAGAGATGTAAGATCACATGGGGTATGACCATGGGCAATGGTGTTAAATCCAGTAACAAAACAACAAAGCAAGTAGAAACCTAATTTAAAAAAAATCATAGCGTCAACAGCCTTGGAAATTTAAAAACACATTCAAATATCATGGATAATAAGTTTAAAATATATTCAATAGCAAGTAATAATGAACATCAAAGCTGACAGGATGGAGTTAAACAGGCCTGAAAAGAATATCATAAATGTTTATATTTAAAAAAAAGCTAAAGTAGCCAACTTCAGAAATTAGAAGAAAATAGAATAATCTCCCACCCCAAAAGTGTAACAATCATTAAACATTAGAAAAATTAAAAATCACAAGTTTGTAATTTAAATTACAGAGCCTGGTTTCATTCCTAATCTTTTTGTTTTTCATAAGACGTTTTTATGTAAGTTTAAACAGACATCCTTGTATGTCTTGATTATGACATTGGTTATATTATATCATATGACAACACTCCATTTCCTCTACATTTCATTTTTCTTCCCTAGAATAATCTGATAGAAGGGTGATTTGAAAAAAAGCCTGCTGTTTCCATTCAGCAGAAGGAATTTTCATAAAGTGTAACATCTCAAATTTCTCGGACTGACACTCTGAGGGCATGACAGAGCAGGCTGGTGTTCATCTACCTCTCAGACACCCACCAGGTCAGATTTCTTAAGCCTTCCTAAGGTCAAATGCATTTCACTTTGCAAAACTGACAGGGCATTTCTAAAAACTATTTGTTTTCTAAATCATTGTGATGTGGTATTATGATGTATAATGTGTTCAGTCCAGAAAAAAGAAGAAACATTCAACAGCGGTAGGTCAAGCTAGGCTTTAAAAAATCCAAATCTCAGTGCTATAACTGATGGAAATTCTCTGCCCAGATGCTGGAACAACATGTACTGATCACAGGTAGTCACAGATCATAGAGAAAAATAGCTCTGGGCCAGAGCAGTTAAATGTTAGGTGAAGATCACTGCAAGGCCTTCAACCCCAAATTCCTCAGCCACTCATCCTCTTATTTACTCTGGAACACACTGCTTAGGGCAGATAAGAAACGTTCTGTTTTCAGAAGGTTGCTTTTAAAGAAATCATCAGTTGAAGATGACTTTGGAGATCTTTCTTCTGTGAGAGTACTTTTATGCTTCAACACAGGGAAATGCACTTTGAAAATCAGAAACATCAAATGTATCTGTTAGCATTATAATTACTAATAAACAGGTTTGTCAATTTTCACATCTGTAAAGGCCCAGGTCCTGGTGCTGGGAGCGACACAGGATGCCGCAGTTTAACGCAGTCAGGAAGACATGTGCAGTCACAGGCCTGCGAAGTGGGAGGAAGGGGTGTATTCAATGAAGACATCCTAAAGTCTGGACCTGAACGAGCAGTCAAGGGAGAGAGGCGTGCACAGGCTTAAGTCAGGACCGAGTCTTCCTACCTTCAGCTTGGCTGAGGGCAGACCCTGGTGGCTTCACCTTCTTCCTTGCTTGCCCAATACTTAATCCAACACCAAGTCCCATTCATCTCCCCTCCCCGGGTTTTTTACTGGCCCTCACCACCACCACTAGTTCTTGCTGGGACATGTGCAATATGTGTAGGCTTCACAGCACCACCTGTGGAGTAGTCCTGCCATAGGCCCAACTGGAATCTGGGCTCCAACCCCGTCTCTACATTTCCTTCCCAGCTGATAGGAAATAGAGGGACACAGAGAGAACATTAAATGACACCTGCTAATGCAGACTGCAAAATCCTGACATGAAAAACAATGAAATAAACAATGTGGCCTCTCTAACAAAGTTCAAGGTGAAAAAAAAGGTGGAGTAGGACTACAAATTGAAAGATTAAGAGCTGCATCAGATGCATACTGTGACCTCTCCAGATGCTATTCTGAACAAATGAACTGTAAAAGCCTTTAGGAGGTGATTGGAAATGTCAACACTGCACACTGTCTACTATTACACAACCGAAGATAGCATTATAGTTATGTATTTTTTAGAAAAAGTCCATATATCTGATAGAATGTCTGAGATCTGTTTCAAAATAATGTAAAATGTAAAAGGGAAATGAAAGAAGATTGAACATGGGTTGACAAAATCTTTAAAAACTGTTGAAGTTGGTTGAGTGTGCAAGAAACAGAGCCAACAATATGTTTATTTGCCTTCTTGTGGATCTAAGCTCTCAGGAGACAGGTGGGTGCCTCCCCGTTGACCCATGGCTGCTGCCTGGTGCCTAGCAGGCAGGAAAAGCTCAGTAAATCAATACTAAACCAAGGCTTGCTACTTCCCACAACTCAAATTACAAATGAGATGGCCTCTGAAAACGTGTCTGAAGCTTAGAATACATTAGTTTCAAAAAGAATTAATATTTTGAAGGATAGCAAACTCTTCACACAATTACATAAAAACTGCCTCTCAGAGGATGTCAGTGAGCCTGATCCCCATTTGCAGGAACTCTAAAGGAGAGGAGCCTGAATGTCAGTCACTGTGCGTCAGGCAGGCACTAGAGGCTATTGGGGTTAGGAGCTGATGGCAGAGCTGCAGGCAGGTGAGAGCACATAGCCCTGGGAGCCAGCCAATTACAGACCTGCTGTCTGTGCGAAGGTGTTCTTACTACCACAAATTCAGTAACAGGGAAGGTATTTCTCTAGCACTGTCAGTGATCAGGTTCTCAGAGCTGTGAATGAGGACTTCGAGGAAGAATAAAGTGATGAGTGATCAGAGCTGGAGACACCAGCTGTCCCCTCACACCAGCTAGACCCTAGCACTTAAAGACAGCCTCCCGCGTGGCAAGAAAGAATCAATCAGTACTTTAGAACTAGATGTTAAAAGCAAGTTTCAGCTCCTTGGGGGTCATAGCTATGTGCATGACCCTGTGATGTCAAATTCTGAAGGAAGCTAGCTGTCAAAACTAGCATGATGAGATTCAATGTCCTGCGAGAGAACCAGATCGAAGGAAATTCATGTGGCAAGACAATTTTCTTCATGTTATAACCAATTTGCTCAAAAATCCATAAAAATTGTGGGGAGAATATTAGAGGATATCATTCTCCCAGTTTCTATTTAATAAAGATCCTGTGAGCTTCAAAGCACTTATTTTCCAAACTATATGCTTGAAGCACATGATAAGAGTAGGTTTTAGCACCAGAGGGAGTCTCCAGTTTGGGCTTTGAGTGAGCCAGGTACCCTTTTAAGCGTCCATTTCCTCCTTGGTACAGTGGGGACAGCGATGCCTAGCATGCAGGTGTGAGGCTTAACAGGCCAGCACATATAAAATGCCCAGCATGGAGCCTGGCAGGGCAAACAACTCATAATCAGTAACTGCTGTCGCCTGAACCATAACCGACATCACTAGAAGCTGCAGGCCATCCGCATCCTTACAGCAAGAAGCCCTGCAGCAGACTTTTCTCCCTGAGACTTTTACATACTTTTGCCCATTGTTTGTCCTTTATAAAAGATGGAGTCTGGAAACCATTCCAAGAAGGTTTCTACGTTCTACCCATTGCAACTAGAGTAGAATGCTTACTTCTCGGACCTTCTATGATGTCCCGTCATGTTGTTTCCTGTTTCTCAAAGCAAACCTGCCCAAATGCCTGTCTTTTTCTTTTTGCAACATCATTAGGTTTTTCTTCAACAGTACCACACGTTTGGCATTTGGGGGGTAAAGGAACAAAATTGAAATATAAAATAGTTTTTTTTCCCCATAAAACCCAAATATTTGTGGTTTAACAAGATGAATGAATGCCATGGCTGCAATTATTGGCAATTCATGGCAAGCACATGATGTCAGGGCTGGCATGAGAGAGTACAGTTGCTGTAGGGGCCTTACAGGAGCCACAGCAGCCACTGTGACTGAAGACTCAGGGTGGACAGGCCATCGGGCTGGCCTCGAGACAATGTCCCTTCATTGAGTTCACAATCAGCTCCCAAAACAATTATCTTACTTCATGATAAAAAGGAAGAAGCTAGCAAGCGTGTTGCTCACATTTCTACAGCCCACAGGTGACAGAGGCAGAATTCACTCCCAAGGCTGTCTGGTGACGTCACTCTCTTCCCACATCCATGCAGGCTCCACGAGAAGATTTCATTTCCCTGCACTGTTATCACACACATGGAAAGCAGGCATCCACCCCACCAGCCTGCCCAAAGATTCAGTTTTTAGATACATACATGGGAAATATGGAGGAAGAATAACTTAGAATGTGAAGTAACTACTTCCTACATGCAGGAGTCCACTGACTTCTCTAAGAGACCACAGCCAGTACCTACCATGACATCAGCTTCCCTGGTGGCATAGCGAAGATTTGGATCTAGCCAGTACATTATGGATTTGACCTGCTCGAAATTCAAGAAGAGGAGAAATACCAGGAACAGGAAGTAGAGCACACTGAGTCCTACAGGAAACAAAAACACACTCACTTAGCAGAGATACGAGCTCAGACACAGACTCAAATCACAATTTGCCAAGCAGAATAGTATTATAATTCAGTACACTGAGACCTGATTACCATTCAGCACTGTCTTTGAGGACAGTCTGAAGCATAGCCATACCTCAATGAAGAGGTCAGAAACATGCCAAGAAAACGATGCTTAAGCTGAGACTCAAAGGAATGGCAGACAAAGTGTGTGTAGATGGGAATGGAGGAGTGGCTACAACATGCAGGTGGGTTCTTGGAACAAGAGTCATCTGGAACCTGGCATGTGACGGGGGGTGCCACAGAAAGAAAAATAGAGCATAGTGGCACTACAGTAACAGCCAGGACTTGCAGGCCATGGCACAGCTCAGATTTTATCTTAAATGGAATGAGGAACACTTAATGGATTTCATTCAAATGGAGGGAAAGAAGATGACCTAGGTAACATTTTATAAAGCTGCCTCTGACTGACTGCTATGTGGACATCCCAGGAGTGACAGGTGTGAGATGTGAGGTGACTCGAGGCTGCTCAGCCATGTCTTATACCCTATGTTAAGTAAGCCTTGGAGGTATTACATTACTGCCACATAGCATAACTGGTATCTTAATAACCAGTGTAAATATACTTTAGAAAGATCTGAAAACCAACCACCAGTGACTTTGTCACTTCTCATTATTGTGGAAACTGCTAGAATTAAAATGTTTATATGGGACCTCTAGACACGGACACAAATGACCTTGGATCACTGCGCCCCACTCAGACCTGGCTCAGGACTCATCTCCAACGAGCTGCTCTAGAGGAAAAGAATGTGGCTGGAGACAACCCTCTATACTGTACATAGCTCCAGGTCCTCTGGTGGGGCCCCTTTCTCAGGACTCAGGGGGCACAGGGGAGGCTGGAGAGCAGCACAGCCACCTAGTCCTGCACCCCAGAGCCCGGGGAGCACACACTTTCGGCTGGTGGGATGATAACCAATTGTGACTTGCACCTACAGTTCTGTTTTTATGAATGTTGCAACAAATGCCTCCTTCCTTTCAAAATCATTACTTTAGGACGGAAGGGGAACATGTGTAGAGCAGGGGTTCTAAAGCAGAGTTCAAGGCTGGAATTTGAGGCCTGTGAAGCCCCAGATATGACAGACGTGTGTGTGTGTGTATTCTGGAAAAAGGTCTGCAGCTCAGGGACAGCGCAGTGCCAGCCACATCCAGGTACTCAGTGACACCTGCAGTGCAGATGTAGATGAGTCCCCAGGGAATTCAAAGAGATTTGCCTATGAGCTCTCAAGGTGAAAGAAAATATACAACCTTGGGTGAAATATCTATTTTTAGGGAGCTGGTTGCATAAGATTACATTTTCTGAACCTAAAATAATTTGTTTGATGTCTTATTTAGGCAAGATAAGGCCAATATGTGAAGTTTTGAAGATCTACTTTAAATGCATTCAGGTGATTTAGCCACTTGGATTAGAAATCAAGTAAAAATAAGACATGCAGTCTCTATATAAGACACTTATCGCTAAACTTCTATCCAAATCAGGCTCTTTGTCTACAGATATCCTCTCCTGTTCATAACACTGAGGAGACGGCTGGCTTTGCAGTTGCTCCTGGAGGCTGACAAGATGAGACACATTCAGGGACACATTTGACTTGCATCAGCAAAGAGGAACATAAAGATGCATGAAAAAATAAGCCACAATCCCTTCAAATCCTGTTACAGTTAGAATCAGAAGTCTAAGAAACAGGCAAGTGGGGGTAAACAGACCACATGATCGAAAATTTAAGTTATCACCAGTACTTTGTGTATGTGTGTGTGTGTGTGTCTATGTGGCAAAGAATATGAATAAAAAAATTTTTTATTAGGGTCACCAGTAAGTAAAAAGCTTTATTCAAAATTTTACCATAGAGTGCTAAGCAAAACGGATACAGTGATATATAGAAATGGATTTTTAAAAACACAGTTTGAATGTACAAAGGGGTCACTCACCAAAAACCATTCGCCATAAGGCTGGATGAGGCCGGGTAAACGGACCTGCGGAAACAATGCTGGGTGGTTAGCACAGGTGGCTCAGCCTGCCGCTGATCTCCACAGAGAGAAACAATCACTGGAATCACTGGGGGTGGCGGGCCAGAGGGAAAAGGGGGCTGTATTTTACATAAATATCTTGAGGTCTAAGTCTATTGGTTATCATGTGGAAATATTTTATCCATATGATAACCAATATCTTCACAACTGTAACAGGCACCCAACAGAGTTCTTTGGTTTGTGTTTTTTTTTTTAAGTTTTATCTTTAGAACTCAGACCAAAATTTCCCATGGAAACCATTGTTCTAAGTGTAAATAAATTCAGCTATCCTTTAAGTGTATCTGAAACATACTACACTTTAACAAGTGAAATCTTGAGGAGGTGGAGCGGAAGAGGGGAGGCGGGGGAGAGAGGAGGTGTAAAAGAGGAGAGTATATGTGAGACAGAAAGAGAGAGAGAGAGAGAGAGAGAGAGAGAGAGAGAGAGAGAGAAGGACAGACAGAGACTAACTCTGAAAGAGAGATACTGTGTTCTGGAAATAAGTAGGAGGGGAGTGAAACAAGAGGACGGCCCTTGGCACATGAGAATAGGCCAGAACAGTCAGTCACCTTTGATCATGACCTGTGGTTGGAACAAAATACCTTCCAATGGCGACTGAGTTTAGATTCACAGATGTCGTTCCACTCCACAATGGAAACCAAAGTTTCAAAGGATGAACAAGCTCTAAATATAAGTGATGACCTAACCCTTTCTCTTTTATCTTAATTCATTAAAAAATATATATAGAGAGAGAAGAAGCAAACAAGCAAACAAGCAAGCAAGTTGGGCTTTAATCTACTCAATGAATTTAACCAGCAGCTGAAAGGTTTAAGTAGCAAACACTGAACACTGCTCGAGGGGGCACCTGACCTATCTGAGGCTGCCCACACCTTGGAACCAGAGCCGCAGAACTTGTTGCTCAACCTTCAAGGGCCTGGCCCTTCAGACTTGACCTCCAGCTACTGAGGGCCAAGAAAGCACACAGAGCCTTCTTCCTCCTCCCTCAGCTTCCCACCCCTGGTCCCCCCCAGCAGGGGACCAGTATAGGGGTAGTGGCACTGGTGCTGGTGGCAGTGGCAGCCCATTAAGAAGTGTCAAAGGCACAGACTACAGAAAATGCTCACTGGGGTCTCCTCATTAGACTGACCCTGGGGGACCCGGCAGCTCCTGCTCCCAGCTTAGCCTGGGAGCTAGCTTCATTGCTCTCCTTGCTTCTGCAAGCCAGACAATATCCTTGAACAGGTTTTTAATCAGCAGAGTCAGCTTCTACTGCTTGCAATCTGGAATCCTGCCTGAAGCAAACATATTGTAATTTTTATTCTGGAACTCATTCTAAAATCGCCCTTGTCTTCCTAAAAAGACTACACTGAAACATGGTTTATATGCTTTCTTTTGGTGAATCAAGTCCATATGTAGGAGAGCAGATACCAGTACCCACTCCCCACACACACACCATCACTGCCCCCCCCCAAACCCCCACTGAAATCTTTTCAATTCCTAAGTTTAGATGGTAGAAAGTGAGTTAGGTTCATCAGGGACTCTTGCTTTATACAAATTAATTTGGTTTCTGAGTTTTAAGTGATAAGTAGTGGGAAGTCAGACAGCGTGGGGTGATATCTAAAAGTGTATCCAAATCTGTTTAATTTCTCAATTTTCAGAGCAAAGGCTCAGAAAGGTGAGGATATTTACATACTTTTTTTTTTCTATCAACTGCTTCCCTCTCAGAAAAGCTCAATGAAACACAGAAACTAGAATCCCCTTTCAGGTAACATAACATGGTTAATTTTCTCTAAGTCATTAGAAAACGTATGGCTAAAACTGTTGTCTTTAAGTAATCTTCATTTACAAAAGCGCTTCTTCACTGAATCTTGGTTCATGGTTCCTGCCTGGTCATCACGAATGACAGCTGTACTACTCTGGCCTAGTTACAAGTATCACTTCATCCAGACTACATAATTAACCTTTCAGACACAACATGGGACCCCTGTATTCTTATAAAGGTGTTGGCAATTCAATCAAATTCTATTATTTGACTTCATGCCAAATCAACACTTAAAATCATGTAAATAATTTAATTCCAAAGAGCAGCCATAACTCTAATTTACGATAACTATCAGCAAGTTCCTGAGCACTTACTGGGGGCAGGTGAAACCCATACAGCTCTCTGTTCTCCTGAGCGGGGAGGGTGCTACCATCAGTCCTGCTTGACAGATGACCTTGGTGGCGTGTGGAACTCGCCCTGGATCACAGCTCACAGGACTCTACCTCCAGTCAGTCATCAGAGTCCACACTGTGACCAGGTGAAATCCTGGGAGTACAGCCCTCCCTGGTGGCACAGTGGGTTAGGATGCAGCATGTAAGCTAGCTGCAGCTGCTTCAGTGCCAAATTCAATCCCCAGCCCTGGAGGTGATCCACTTGGCGCAGCAGACCTCTCTTGACCAGCCCGCTACTCCCCTCAGCAGTGGATTCAGTAGCTCTACCTGTTCTGCTTCCCACTCTGTCTCTGGTGAATCCTCTCAGGGTCCCTGCACCTCTGGCCTGCACCCCAGTTCTGTATGCATAAATAAATAAATCTTAAAAAAAATCCTGGGAGTACAAGGTTTCACCCTCTGTTAAGAGCCCACTCAGGAAAAGGGAGGGGAGAGAGGCTTAAGGACTTGAGGTAGGAGTGAATCCTGGTCAGGGGACGAAGGGGAAGGGAGAAGCAAGCGAGGAGTGACTGGTGATTATACTTTCTGCAATATGGACTGGACAACAAGGTCGGGGAAATGGGAAGGATGAGGGAAAGAGTAGGAAAAACTGATGAAAATTCCCTAACACAGACAAGTAGAAAGGCCTCCAAAGTGTGGACATGTGATTAAGAGTAGCCTATGGCAAAAAAGTTCAGCCCTTCCTTATCTGACCCAGAGGGGAATAAGTAAGAGGATGGCTGGCTGAAGAATCTGGGATTGACAAAGCCTTGCAGACCCAGACCTAACGTTTAACTACTTCAGCTTTCTCTATCAGATTGTGGTTGCTGTGTGTAGCTACAGGACCTCGAAAGAATTTTCATTTTATGGAAGTGCAATTTTTTTTTTTAAAGATTTATTTATTTATGCATATACAGGCCAGAGGTGCAGGGGCAGTGAGAGGATTCACCAGAGACAGAGTGGGGAGCAGAACAGGCAGATCAACAAAGTACTGCTGAGAGGAGCAGTGGGCCTTCAGGAGAGGTCTGCTGGCCATGTGGTCACCTTGGGGGCAGGCAGGGATCAAACTAATGCGGAAGTGGCTTTAGCTTCTTAGTGCTGTGCTTTAACCCATTGCACCACCAGGGAGGACCCGCAGTTTGGTTTTTTAAACCCTTATCTTGACCTATCCCTATTGACTTTTCTTCTTTTCTCTGTATTTCCCACTTAAAACATCAAAATATGACATTACAGTATTTCTGGAAAAAAGACTTCTTAAAAATGCCCTTTCAGCTTTGCAAATTGAAATGCATTTTGATCTGAAAAAGGCTTAAGAAATCCAATGGGTTTCAGAAGAGATAGACCAAAAACCTACAGCTCTTCTTCACCTGGATGTTGTCAACACAATAGCAGCTTTCTCAAGCTCACTAGGAAGTGATGCACCAGGCAGGATCAATGGGCTGAGCATAGTAGAGTAGAAAGATGTCAAGAACCTGGTCTTCACATGTCCCTGAGCTGCTCAATTAGCCAAGCCTGAACCACCATCTCTCCTCAGGACTTCCTGTCATGTAAGAGAGGACACATTATCCATGTTTCTTAAACTGTCCTGAAATGGGTCCTCTAGTTTTTAAACCTGAAAGCATCCTGACTGCTGGAGACAGTCAAGGGCCTTCTTTGTAATTTCAGATCTGTACAAAAAGAATCTCAGGGCCCCTTCCTATGGCAGTTGACCAGTTCTACCAACAGACACACACACACACACACACACACACACACACACACACACACACACACAGAGGCAGCCTATGTGAAATAACACAGGAAACAAAGGGACAACAAAAGTCAGGCCTTGACTCAAATGTGCAGGACCTTTTACTAGGTCAAGGATAAATGCATCTGTGTTTCCCAACTAGAACCGTTCTGGGAATGCCAGAAACTGCCAGCACTCCTCCAAAACTGCCTTTCAAGGAGATGAGAAATTTTGGGCTCTGTTTCTCCCTCCCATTCATTTTCATTAATTAATTTGATACCATGTGCCAAGGGTGGGGAGAATGGAAATTAGATGACAAGAGTGGGGCAAGAATAGACAAGTATCCACCTCCCAGAGCAGCAGCCACCAGCACTGAAGCTCCTGGAAAGCTGGGAAGTCCGAGTGCTGGCTCTGAAGGGGACGGCTACACCGCTTGGCACCTTTTCCCTGCCACATGGCCCTGAGAGTTCCACATCCTCTCCACTGGCACCTCCCAAAGCTACCCCTAATTTTGAGATATTCAATATTAACAATCCTTAATGTGGAAAATGTATAGTTTTACTGGTGTTATGTAAAGGGTAACTAAATGAATGTTTAAAAGAACAGGGCAGACGTACTATGTTGCTTGCTATATACGCATCTCTTTCAGAGAATCCCTCTAAGTACTTGCTACCCCGCCAGTCATGTCCTCATCCTTCTTACACAGGATACTGAACTGCCACTCTGCTGTTCTATATCTACCAGAAACCTTGTTTGGGGCATGTCTGCCTACAGGTGAGTGTGTGCAGGGCCCCCTCGGCGGGTGGAGGAAAGGTAAGGCAGGATGGTTCAGATCATCTGCTCGCTCCTGCAGGGCACAGACAGCACTTGGGACACAAAGGAGAATGGGCACAAAACCACCAATCAGCTTCTGCAGGACCCAAAGCACACTGGGTACCTGCTTCAGAAAGAGAAAAGCCAGAGACAGAGGGAAAGGAGAGAAGCAGAGAAAGACAGAGCACACAGGCTAGAGATCAAACACCTCACAAGAGACCTAATAGGGGATGTGACCAGTGCCATGCGGAGTAAAGAAAAACACAAGGGGGAGGGGGCCCTAACTAGGGTGACAGCAGGTAGCTGGATTTTCTCATGGGAACTGATGACCACAGGTTTCAGCTTTCTCAGCTGTCAACCCAGCAGGCTAAGCTAGGTGAGCACAGGCACCTCCCTCCTTTGTGGGTATCACGAAGTTTACACGGTCAATCTAAGAAAATCTAAGAAAAGCATACAACAAACTTAGCCTTTATCTTTCCTAAAAGAAAACAAAAGAGCAGTCCCATCATGAGAGGTGTCTTATCTGAACAGGTTAAGAAGACGGGACTTTGGCCCTCCCTCGTGGGGCAGCGGGTTGAAGCACAGCACTGAGAATCTGAAGCCGCTTCCGCATGAGTTAGATTCCCGCCTGCCCCGGAGGTGACCACATGGCGTGGCAGACCTCTCCTGACCCGCCAGCCCGCTGCTCCCCTCAGCAGTGTACTTCGTCAATCTGCCTGTTCTATTCCCCAGTCTGTCTCTGGTGAAGCCTCTCGCCGCCCCTGAGTCTCTGGCCTGTACCCCAGTTCTGTATGCACAAATAAATAAATCTTTAAAAAAAAAAAAAAAAAAAAAGACGGGACTTTAGTAAGAGACAGGAAAAACCAGCAAAAATCACACAAAATGTTATACCCAACAAATTTAATCCCCCAATCGTCAACTTTGGCGTCTTAAAAAATGTATCTGCTGGCCCTCCCTGGTGGCGCAGCACTGAGAAGCTGAAGCCACTTCCGCATGAGTTCGATCCCCGCCTGAGTTCGATCCCCGCCTGCCCCGGAGGAGACCACATGGCACGGCAGACCTCTCCTGACCCGCCTGCTGCTCCCCTCAGCAGTGTACTTCGTCGATCTGCCTGTTCTGCTCCCCACTCTGTCCCTGGTGAATCCTCTCACCCTCCACATCTCTGGCCTGTACCCCAGTTCTGTATGAATAAATAAATAAATCTTTAAAAAAAAATGTTCACTGAAGAGATGGCTGTAAAATCATGGGTACCAAGAGACTGATCTTCTAGGAACTTAGATTTATAAAATGGCTTTGGCCTTAGAAATGTCAACATTTAAAAAAAAATAGCAAAAAAAAAAAAAATCACTTAAGAGTGAAAAGGAATCTGTGAAAGCAGAGCAACCAACGGACACATAGTCAGGGAAAGCTGAAGACTCAGAGGATAGGCCTGATACCTTTGAACTCATCAGTTTCTTGAGCACATATTCTGCTCCAATTGACTGACATAAATGGGACAGAGGACTTAAAAGAAATAGGAACAGAGAGCACAAACCAATAATTATCATAGTATCAACTGATGACTGGAAAGCAAGCAGCAAACCTTCACAGGACACAGAAGGTTGAATGACTCAGGGCAGGTTGGAAATCAACACCCCCTGTAAGGTGACTTTTCACATTTTGGGGGGCTCCGATGGTGGTCAGAGATCAGCCATATGCTGGTGTCTGATTTTAGATGAAGCTCACCCCATGCCTTAATTTGGGTTCTATTCTTCTGCCACCTTTGTGTGAAAAGGTCAGTTTCCAGAGTGTTAAATGCTTTACAGCTAAATGGCCATTTAGCCTGCACTACAATATGGCATCCGTGAAAGAAAGGATAAGCTATCTAATTTCTAAGGCCTCCCTAATAAAAAAATTGAGATTTTTGCTTGTTGAAAATGGGAGGGGAAAGAAAACTGACAAGTAGCAAAAAGTTGATATGCAAGACTTTCCTATAAAGCAAATTCTTTTTTTTTTGGAAGGGTGGGGAGAACAGGGAGTCAATAAATATCTACTTTGCATTATCAAATGTAGACAAATGTACTCAAATAACAGCCTTCATAACTACAGCTACATGAGAAGAAAAGATCTTAACTTCAATCTAAGAGCTAAGAAGATGAATCAATAGCAGGGTCAACAGCCCTTCATCCCATGATCTACCTGTATCGTGAACTTCGTGTCTCACACCAGTAATTACAAATTATCAGAACTCTCAATCACTGGGGAAAGACTAACCAATGTCTGTCACATCTGCATAAAGTATCTATGTGTAAGATTGAACATTTGCACTCCCCTATAATCCACATGTTGAAACACTAATCCCTAAAGGGAAGACTGACAGGCTTCTCACACCTTACAAGACAGAGTAGAAAGCCACTTGGTGGTGAGCATTTACTATTACTAATAAAGGGAAAGAAGTACTCTGAAGACAGTATCAACCTGGCTGTCATTTCCATCAGACCCCCAGAATGCATGGGCCATGGAGCAAGGTTTTGCAGCTGCCTCCACCTTGGATTCAGAGAGCAAAAACTACATCTGACAGAGCTATAAAAACAGGACCTATTGGAGTTGGGGATTCAGCTCTTGCTGGGCAGAGCTGTGGAGGTGGTCTATGGCTCCAGCGCCTCTGGGCAGGGCTTAGAGCCAAAGATTGCCTTCCTAGGTTTTGGGCTTGCCTGAGGCGCAAGGCGAGCCTTCCATCTTTTGTTTCTCCCTTTCAGAATGAGAATGTCTAAGATGTGCCTGAGCCAATGCTGTATTTTGTAAGCACATAATGTTTGGTTTCACAGGTTTCCAGATGGAGAGGAATTTTGCCTCAGGATGAATCTTCTGTTCCTTAAATCGCCCACTCTGATGAGATTCTGTTATAGCAGCCTGTACTTGGAAGGCAGGTTTTCTTATCTTGAAAGGCTTTCACAAAAAAACTATTTTATCTACAAAAGGGAAAGGTTGGAGAATTAAATCCAGCTCCTAAATAAGTTAGTTATCTAGGGCAATTCATTCCCTGAGGGGTACAGTCATGGTTTTACTGGTAGTATTATTATGCTACCAGGGAAAGTCACATCCTGCTAAGATAAGCAAAACACAGAAGAAAATGTCACTGCCACCATCTTGGGAAATGTGAAGGCGTTGCCACCTGAGACACTGTGATTTTATAATAAGAATTAGATATTCATTCTACTCCCATCTCGGGCAAGAGACTCACAACTCAGAATCTCCTAAGTGAAGAGAGCCTAAAGGTGCTTTTTATTATGTTAATGATGGCTTGGGAAAGTAAGGAAGGATGAGGGTTGGTAGCAGGGGAGTCAGTCTTGAGATCAGAGGGTTGGAACTTTCAGTCCTGGTGGAGAGTGCAAAAGATTTAGTTCAATTCCAGTGACCAATGATTTAATCAGTCATGTCTATGTCATGCATGAGTCTAGGAAAAACAAAAAGCACAAGGATCACAGTGTTTCTAGGTTGGCGGATGTGTAGAGACCCTGGTGCCTGTGGAGGAATCTCCTTACCCCTCCTCCGCATCTGGCTATGATGACTATCCTCTGTAATAAACTGGGAATCTAGTTAGTATGCTGGCCCCTGAGTTCTACAAGCTACTCTATCAAATTAATCAAATCCAAAGAGGGGGGTCATGGGAACCCCTGATTTATATAGTCAGCCAATCAGAAGTGAAGGGGACAACCTGGACTTGTGATTAGCATCTGAAGTGGAGAGAGGTCTTGTGAGACTGAGCCCTTAACCTGTAGAATCTGATGCTATTCTGGGTAGGTGGTGCCAGTACAGATTTGAATCATCATTTGGTTGGGAATTGCTTGTGTGGAAAAACCCCTAAACACCCCTCTCCCCCACACTGGATTTGGCATTAGAATCCCATTACCCTGGTACATTTCCAGGTAGCAGTTCTTAATATTCATTAATGAACTCATTTACTATAGAAAATGGATGAGAGGTAGGGTAGAAATACATCTTAAAGCATATTTAAAACCTGAGTATCAGGGCCCATGGAACATAACTCACAAGAAAGACTGAAGACATCTCCAAAATACCCTAAGTGTAAAACAAAGGATACAAAAATTAAGCATTTAGAAATAGTTAACTGAGAGAAGTAGAGAATATTCCAGAGAGAAAGTACTGAAGAGGAAGAAAAAGAAAGCATCCTATAAGAGACAATTCAGAGCAAAGGTATGAATCTTAAGTATGGCAGAATATTAACTTTGATTTTTAAATAGAGGTTTTGCCTCCCTCTATCATCATGTTGGGGAGGCAGAGGAGAAGATTCATAACTGCCTTTCAATCTCATGAAAATTCATATCCCAAATTCATAATAAGCAAAGTTACTACAATAAAACATCACTCAGGACAACAAATTACATAATACTCCCTACAGAATCAGGCCTATCTTTAGCAAAACGGTGTTACTGAGCAGTAATAGAGTATTTATGACTCAGCTGGTAATACAAAAATAGCTACGAGAACAGCTGACATTCATTGAGAGCTCACAACTTGTCAGTCACTGTTCAGAGAACTTAACATGCATTAGTTTAGTTTATATTATAAAAATACTCTAACCTGCTCTCCATTTATATGTATTAGAGAAAATGCAGCAATCATAAAGATGCTTTCAGATGCATAAGGTGTAACAGGATCATCCCCAGAAAAAGGGGAGTTCCCCTTTCCCTGCCTGGTAACAAGGGGTCTTCCCCAGGGCCACAGAGCTAGGTAATGGCAGCATGGGTGGTCTGCTCCACAATCTGTGCCCCTAACTATCCTATAACACTGATTATTTTTTTAACCCACCTTTTAATTTCATCTTCCAGACAATACACTTCAAAAATACCAAAAGGGTACGAGGCACAGGAAAAATATGATAGAGCGTAGCATCACTTACCATTGGGAAAAGCTAATACACTGATGATAAGAAAGAAGAAAATAACAGAGAGGATACCCCTCCAGATGTTGTCTTCTGGGACAGAGTCATCCCTGAAAACAGAAAAATAGCATTGAGTATTCATTTTCAGATCTAAACAGTCAACCTAGAAGGAATATGAGTTGCATGTTCTAAACCTGGAGGATTGCTATTTACTTATTTTGCTGACTCAAGTCAGTGCACAGACTATGTGATATTCACTATCATTTCCTAAAATACCCATCTATCTCATAATTAAATACAGTTCTTACCAAAAAAGCAATCAGCAACCAGATGCGCCTACATTCTACTGAAACAGGATTTCAAAGTCATTATTCTTTTTTTACAATAATACCCAGGATTTCAAAAGTTAAGATTTACTTTGAAGGAATGCTTTTGTTTGTAAGAACAACAGAAGATGATCTTCATTATGATCATATAGACTGTGGCAAAGAAATGTTTGGGTTCAGAAAAAAAGCTAAGGGTAAGAGGAAGAAGTATAATGCATGAGATTATATAATTACACCTTAAAATGGGTAGCCAGCTATCTAAAGGATGAATGCTAAGAAAGTATTAGTAAGAAATATTAAAAGCAGAATCACAGGAAAAAATACAAGATTTAAAATCACAACAGAAGCAAAAGAATCAAAAGAAAGGGGATGAGTTTCCTCCCCCTTGAGGCTGGTCATTTCTAATTGATTACTCTATCTCGTCCACACTCCAGCAACTGAAATAATTCCCTTTGTTAGTTTATAATTTATCTATCTTGCACACAGCAAGAAAGCTTCTAAAGGCAGGGCATTAGTTGCTTATATGCTCAATGCCAGGAATCTAATAGATACTCAACAGATATAGATTAGGGAGGAAATTTATTGTATAAAATCATGTACAACTTCCCAAGTGGACATTTTCTTAACATTAACAGTGAAGAGTTAAGAAGAGAAAAGAGCAGAGATATAAAGGCTAAGATTTTCTGAATTATTGATAATTACAGAGAAGCTTAGGAGATGGAAGTCTATCATTTCAGTCTAAAAAAGTGCAGGATGAGTGGACAGAAATATGAGATGGAACAAAATGGAAGGAGATTAGTTTAGAAATAATGACACTAGTATCAATACATTTTAAAATTATAAAGAAATTGAGTTTATATGAAAAAGAATTGCAGTGAAAGAGCTTTCAAAAGACAAATATTAAATTAAGATTAAACATTATTGAAGGAAAAATAACTGGTAAAATAAGTCTTAGAACAAAATCAAATTTGCTTAGAAAAAAACTCTGAAGCATCAGAATACATGAAGAGTACAGAATAAAACTATAATGAATTACTACATTAAGGAATAGGTCCTGGGGTATTATTTCAAATACAGAAGTTAACTTAAGTATCAATTTCTGTTTATGGTGCTGAATTTCTGCACTCTGTTAAACAATTTCCAGACTTAGGACTGGGTTGAATGTAAGGTTCTGAAATAAGGGATCATCTGGATAATGTTTCGGAGCATCATATGATGAAACCACCCCACCACCACATCTGGATAAATAATGTTAATTAGAAATTCATGGATCTGATTACAAAAACTTTAGACTCAGATTGACTTCTTGTAGCAAAGTGAAATCATGTTTTAATAGGTATTAACATTTTAACATCTGCCCAGAGGTTATGAATATGGCCCTAAAAATACCAGCCTGATCACTTCCAGGATACTCGTGATGCCCTTTGGCTTAAGCAGGAAAGCTGCTTCTCCAACACCAGCTTTTAGGGAAGAATAGTTACACACAGGTGGGTGGGACACAATATTCTTAGACTAACATTATACTACTGATATTGGTAAGGATGGCAACAGTAATAATTGCTTTCATTTACCAAGTATTTACTGTGTGCTAGGCACTGAACAAGCAGTTTATAAACATTTCTCTGTCACAACTCATTTGCAAAATGGTAAGTTGTCAACCACATGTTACAAATGAGGCTGTGAAGGCTCAGAGGGTTATACAATTCACCCTGTAAGAAGTCAGTATTCATCTAGTTTGCTAGATGATGGTCTTTCCCCCACGCTATTGCACCTCATGGAAAAAAAATTACCTGTCCTCCAAAATCAATCTAATGTTCAAAGAACAAGGAGCTTGACAGGGCACACAATTTAAAAATTACAAAATAAAAGCAAGACTGAAATGAGTAACCATTGCCTGGCAGAAGAAAGTTGAGTCCTGAACTCATACTTTATACCAAAATACATTGTCGATAATTCAAAGAATTAAAATGTAGAAAACAAACGCAAAAACATAGAAGAAATGATGGGAGAAATAAAAAAAAAAGATGATATAACAATTTAAGTGGGGAAGGTCTTGCAAAGTATAACACAAAACCCATAAATCATAAAAGTAAACAGTCATAAATTTACATGGCAAAGTAGTCAAAAATCAAAGAAAAAGCAGTTAACTTGTAAAAAATATTTGGAATTTGTATTAAGCTTAAAGTTTAATTTCCCAAATACACAAAGCTCTCCTCCCAAAATCACTTAACAAAAAGGACAAGAACTGGACAAAGAAAAAGAGAAAAATGGGCAAAGGATGTGAAGAGACAATTCACAAAGAAATCCACTGACTCCCACTCAAGTAAAAAAGAGGCTAAAGATGGTAAGCACGAGTTGAAGTAACACCAAGAGACCAGTTTTAGTCTACCTTATGACAAAGGCAAAAATCTAACAAGTGAGCTGGAAAGGATATAAAAAGACAAATAGGTCTTTTCCTACACGGTGACAGTAAACATTTAAACCACCTTAATGGAAGGCATTTCAGGGACTATTTAGTTTCCAAGGGCATATGCCCTGTGACGTGGCAATCCCACATGAGAATTTGTCCCACAGATGTCCCCTCATTTATATATATAACAGTGACATGGTTCAGTGCACCAAGAGCAAATTCGGATGCCTGTCTCAAAAATGGGACACTAGTCTGCTATAAAAAAGAATGAAGCTTTTTATGAATTAACAGAAAAAGAGTAATCTAAGAGATATAATGAAGTAAATAAAGCAAAGCAAGCTGCAGACCAGTGGGTACATAGTAAGCAAAAACAGAAAGGACACACAAAAAGAAGTGTGAGTGTATAACTTCCAACTTGTCTTTTAGCTGCATTCAATCTCTCTGGAAGTCTACCCAAGAAAGAACGAGGGACACCAGCTTTCTCCAAAGGAAAAAGAAACTTGGGAAGAAAGACTTTTCACCATATACTTCTATGGTACAGCTCAGATTAAGTACTGTGGATATATTCTTTCAAAAAAAAAAATTAAGTTTTAACTAAATAAATGGCTATGGTAACAGTAAATTAGGCACTACTGAAATCACCTGCTAGTCACAATGTTTGAAAACATACCTTACCATTAAATCTATAGAAACTTGAGATCAGTAATAAACAGATATAAAACCAATGAAACCAGGGTGTTGTAAATTTAGAGCGACTTTATTAGATAAAGAGGAACAAATGGATGACCTCGTTTCAGGAGAAAAATGAAGATGAATTCAATAGCCTGAATAAAATAGCAGTGGGCCTGAAAAGTTGGCAGTTTTCTATGTCTAATTAGAAAAAAATGATCAAAAATGGACAGTGAAGTCACTAGATAAAAGGAAAATACACAGTACAAGAAAATCAACTTCTGTGATCAAAGATTAAAGTGTGGGTAGATGAGCTAGGGAGGAAATTTCAATTTTATCAGACTAGTGGCCCCAGCTTCACACGAGTACCTTGAGAGTGGAGAGGGCATTCCCAGGGCACCTAGAAGAGTCCTTTACACGAAATGGGCACAGAAAGAACTGACCACATGGCTGACGAGGCTGCCCAACTCCCCTAGCCCCGCTACCTCCTGACAGCTTCACCACAAAAGGCCATTCGTTAAAGCCTGGTCTGAGTTCATTCTAACGTCCTATAATCCAGAGTCTTAACCATATGCTGAGGTAGACAGACATTTTCCATAATTAATCTTGCAAACAATTTGGCTGCTAGAGCTACTAGAGCACAGCAGTGATTCCAGAAACTCCAAATTAGGAAATAAGAATGAGCTGTCTATATCTGCACTTTGCTCAGAAAGCTAGTTGTTTTGCCTGTTAGCTCTCTTAACCTTCAAAATACCCTAATGGGAGTCAATTATCATAATCTGCATTTTACTGAAGGGGCCTGGCTCCAAAGTCCAAGTTTTCTACTCTTTAGGAGGCATATTGGTGCAGAGACTAGGAGTCCAGGCTTGCGGCCAGACTGCCTGGGCCAAAATTCTGATTTATCAGCCTATGTGACCTTGAGCAGATAACTTACTTCTCTGTGCCCTGGTTTCCTCCCCAGGCCAAGAAGGATAATAGTTCCACCTCTTAGAGTGGTTGTGTGGATGAAATGACAACATAGGCAAGTATAAAACAATGCCTGGCATAGAGGAAGGATCAGTTTTTTTAGTTCATATTGTTTGAATGTTTTTCATTTATGTCCATGTGCACCTTCGTCTAAGTTAACACTTACCAGCCTGTTGTTAGGTACTGGGGGTTAGGGAGGTGGCAGAGCAGACAGGCTTGCTTCTTATTCATGAATCACAATGACAAAGAGACATAATAAGATAGTGTCTCAGTATAGCTTTGGGCTGAGAAAAATGTATTTTTTATTTGCTAGAACATTCTCCCATGAACCTGACCAACCAAAAATATAAATAAATAAAATAACTAGTTCCTGTTTGCAGGGTTGTGCCACTTCCTAAAGGCTTTGGAGGGGGCGATGCAGTTTCCGATTCTCAGGGAAAATCGTTACTTGCAGTCTGGGCTGCCCAGAACCTCATCTCAACTATGTAGGGCCTCATGCTTCTCACTCAACTAAGACATTTTGCTTTACAGCAACTAAAAATAAAGAACTGTGATATTATGACAGCTCCCTGACTTCTTTCCTAGGTTTCCTGCAGCTCTGAATGATAAATGTCTCAATCTCTAGGGCTCTGAACTTTCCCGGCTGGCATTTGATTGAACTGTTGCAGTTTTGGGGAGGAATAGTATCTTTATTTGAAGGATGAGGAAAACAAAGCTCTTGCTTTATCTTGGATCCCAG